AACATAAAACCTAAAGATGAAAAAGAAAAGCTGAAGAAAAAAATTAAAATTACTGCAAAAATAAATCATAAAATATGTTTAAATAATAAATATGTTAAAATAATATACTGAATACTTTTTCTTTTTAACAAATGATTAACGGTAATGTTCCATTGCTCAAGGATGGCTTAGTGGGTTTTGCTAAATTCGGAGCGCCGATGTTGAGATTCTATTCCTCGCAGGAATAAACTTGTCCAGAAATGATTTACGATGCTGGCGATTTACTTGTACTTCTATCGCCAAGAGGTTCCCTAGCATATTAGTCCCGTGCAATGAGCCAGCAGAGCGAGTTTGACCAGTAATGGATTCTTTCAAAAAAATCCAGAAAATAGTTTATTTAATTATTTATTATTGTTTATTTATTTACTTATTATTGTTATTTAATTATTTATTATTATTTATTTGTATTTAATTACTTGAGCGATTCTATAGCTATTCCGTTTTAAATTTTTTTTTGGAATATTTCCTTAGAATTTCTATGAAATTACTAGCTAAATTTTTTTCCTTTTCTTTATCTTCTCTAAATTTAAAAGTAAAATTTATAATAATATTACAAAATAATATAAAATAATTCTGACGGTATTCCAGAGAAAATCATTCGTCTCATAACGGCATTTTATGAGCGTACGTCGGCGTCGGTACATATTTAGGTATATGGAGAACTGACAGACTCCTTCGAAATTAAAACTATGACCATCAAGGCTGCGTCCTTTCACCTACAATATTCAACTATGCGATAGACTGGGTAATGGACACCGCTTGTCAGCACTCAGTGGGTGTCCAAATCAGTCCAGAGCGTTGTATCACAGATTTTGAATACGCTGGTGATATAGTCATTTTTGCTGACAGTTATGACGAAATATAAGTAATGCTAAATAACGTGCCAGAAACTGCAGCAAAAATAGGACTCAGGATCAATGTAAATAAAACGAAAGTCTTTTCGCCATATGTGCAAGAAGCTGATAAAATGAACCTCTTTTTATAAATTCATTGCTGCTTGAGGAAGTGCCTGATTTCAAATACCTTGGGTCCATTCTAATACCGAATGGACAGGCAAAAGATGATATTATAACTCCGATCACGGCAGCTAGAAATACGTTCTTCCGGTTGATGCAACTTTTATGGAGCCGTCGTGAAATCACCATTAAAACAAAAGTCCGCATCTATATAGCCATGATTCGTTCGATCTTGCTATATGGTTCTGAGACATGGCCAATGAGAGGAGATTAAGAAGCTATCTATCTTTGACCACTCTTGCCTAAGGTATATGTTACGGGTCCATCGAGCGGATAAAATATTACATGATCACATCCACATTTGTTCAAACACCACCTATATTAATAATGTTATCACAGAGCGTCGCCTTCGGTGGTTAGGACACGTTCTCCGTCGTCCACCACAAGAGTTGTCGCATATTTCGTTACTTGCTAAGCAAGTGTGATGGATGGCGTCAAAAACGAGGGGAGCCAATCAAGACTTGGAATGATACGGTCAGGAAAGGTTTTGAACTTAAAGGTGGACCAGCAATGTATGTATGGACTTCTGCGCGCATAATGTTCCCAGCCTGGTAATACGCGCGATAAGTATACAAATCCGAGCGTAAAGCGATCCCAAGGCTGATAAATAAAATATGGTCACAAGCCAGGGAAATTGCTCGAAACCTATCAAGGGAAATAGCTCTCTGCAAGCGCGATGAAGCAGTATTAGCCGTATGAGCGTGGAACGTGAGAACACTTATGGACGTTGCAAGTCAAGCGATTACTGTCCACATCCTTTCTAAATATCATGTGGATACTTTTGTCGGAGGTCCGCCTTCCTCACTTCGGGTCTCGAGTAATTGCTAATCCAAGTCCGGAGTAGGGATATAACACTGTGGTGCTTCAAATAACTTGGGGCGGAATGGCGTAGTGATTGTCATGCCTGAAAAGGCCCATTCCGCTTTGATAGAGTGAAAACCGATAAGCGACCGTATGGCCTATGCTCGTTTTAAAGGTAGGTTATACAATATTTCGGTTATCAGTGTCTATGCTCCAACTCTGTCGACAGATAACCCGTGATAAAAATAAGTTCTATGTGGAACTTCAACTGCTAACAAAGTCACAACCGAAATATGACATGGACATAATCGTGGAGACCAAAATGCTCGTAGGTCATAATGCAGTTGCGATGACCTAGACAATAGGCAAATATGGCATAGGAGACCGGTGCGCCAGTGGGAACGCCTTCTTCGTTATGCCGAAAAGCATGAATTTCTTCTTGCTAATACTTGCTTTCGGCATCATAGAAAACATCTAGTCACGTGGAACTCCCGGATTACCAACACTTCAATTAGATTGATTATATCTTAGTCAATGGCCATTGGAAGAGGTTCTGTATTAGATACTCGTTCCTATCGTGGCGCTGAAACAGGCAGTTTTCATGGATCTGACCATGTTATGGTTCGAGCCAAGAGCCGCATAAAATTGGCAACTCGCAGAAAACAGCACCCCTCAAGATCCTTCAACAATCTCAAACTAAAAAATTCGGGAACAGTGAGCACATTTCAAACCGAATTATTGAAGCATCTCAATAATACAAATATCAATGACTTTTCTGGAACGGCAAATGAATACTGGTCTACTGGTTCAAACTAAAGGAATGTCTCCGAAAGTCAGCCACTTCTACGCTAGGGCATACTAGTAGAAAGTGCGTTAGTTGGGTATCGGAAGCAACCATTCAACTGTCTGAAAAAGCTGCCAAAGCTCGAATGTTGGGTGATCGTGACTGCCGGATGTTTCGATGATTTGCAACGAAAGCAACACGAGAAATCACTATTGGAGTGGCATGGCCTTGAGAATAGACTCGATTAGGCGATAATAGGAAACTATTCTGCCTTCTTCATAAAGTAACTATGACTCGGGGAACAATCAGTGAAATGGTAAGAGATAGCAATGGCGTACTAATCAAAAGTATTAAGGATCGCCTCATAAGATGGGAAGAATTCTTTGAAGACAAACTTAACCATGAAGCGCCATCTGTTGCCCACGATACAGCTGATACGTTGGCTTAATCATTTGCTTGCAACTGCGAGCCCCCGACAGAAGAAGAAATATTATCTATTATCCATGAGCTTAAAACCAATAAGACTAGAGTCAACAAGATCAAAGCGATAAAAAGATAAAACAAAGGGAAAGACTTTTCTTCTTAAGCAAAAGACGAAGTTTCATTCTGCAGTCGAATTGCATTTGATGAAATTTTCAGATTAATTTTAATCTTTCAATTTCAAATTCGTGTTTGCCGAGCAGATAAAATCTCACATGATTGCATCTACTTTCGCCCGAATACCACTTGCATTAACCATCAAAAAGTGTCGCCTTCTCTCGTTCTTCGTCGCCAACAAGAGTTGACATATATTACTTTCTCTGCGATGGATGGCGTCAAAAGCAAGGTGGGCCAACCAAGACCTGCACTGATACAGCTAGAAAAGATTTTGTATGTGTAGTTGACCAGCGATATATGGACTTAGACGATGGTAAAAGGAATGACCTCTATTACTACTGTTATCAACGATGGCGTCGGATCGAATAGCTTAAAAACGTTTTATCCTCATAGGCAGCATAGCCAGTAACAGTGAAAGCTGTTAGAAAAAGAAAACTAAGTCTACTATCGTAGTCTACTATCCATCGTTCTGAAAATAGAAAAAATTTCTTTGCATTTTTATGCTAATTGTTTTGTTCTCAACCAATCTTTTTCCCCTTGAAAATATCTCAGCGATCTTCGAACCACATTTTTCTACTAATTTTCACGACAACTTTTAGAGATTTTTTTCGAACTGAGGTAAAAAATCTTTATTTCGGCCAAAACAACCGTTTTGCAAGTTTTTCATTTCTCAAGTGGTGGAATGTCGAAACCGACTGATGAGCTGAGATTCCAGCGAAATGGGTCTCGACAAGACACCTTCACCCAGAATAAAATGAATAACTCGAAATTGCCAGCTGTCACAGGAGGCTGGCAAAGAAAATAAAATTTTTGATACATTGATATTGCTGTTTCCTATTTAAGCAGAGGCTTTTCAACAAAGAATATTGGCTTATCCGATGAATTATATTACTTTAAGTCAAAAAGAAAAAAAACTAGGAAGAAACGTTATTTCTTGCGTAATAAAGTGATCGAGACTAATTAAACCGCTTGTTAGATTAATTTCTGCTAACTTTGGCTGCGACGAATTCAATTTATTTATTTTCATTTATTTACCTATCTAACATATGATTGCGCGAATTACAATTTGCTCATGTTCATTAATTAAATCAGCTCTAATCGTAAATCGAAGCTCACTTTGCTCGAATAAGTTTTAGCTATTCCTGTTTTATTCCTTTAAAAATATAACATTGAGGAACGAAGGAATTTGATTCAATCTTTTTGATTAAAAATTAGTGGTGCTAAAAAGCGCAATGAGCCTTGGTTTGACCTGCAGTGTTATCATACTTGTTGTAAGTTTTTTTTGCTTAATTTTATGTTGATGTCATTTACTCTTTTTCTTCCCTTTATTTTATTAGCGTCATTGCCCCAGTGACTTCTTAAGTGGTCGAGTTGCCAACGCTTTTCGGATTTTTCTCTGAATGGTCAAGATTTATTATGGTCTAGAAGTAGGGATTGAACCTGTGATGCAAAAATTTTAAACGAAGCAACATATTAGCATATATACTATTCGGCAATCTGATGTCGTCTCTAGATCAAAGTTGATGTTAAGAAAAAACCAATTAAACAGATCAATATACTCACTCACCATTTGTTAATGAAAGCTACACTATTTGACACTGTTTTTTTTATTATGGAAAGTATATATCAAAATGGAAAGCCTTACCGAAAATGCTTAGGTTGGGGACGAATATTATTTGGAATATAAAATAATTACACCGTCATGAATCATGGGTAATATGGATTTTGCTCGTCCCCAGTACACAAAATTTCAGGTTGCATTAATGGGTGTCGCAACAAATACTCTTGCAATTTGTACAATACTTATTTCATCGCAACTTCACAATGCATTTGGCTATATAAGTACTTCGCAGTCAACGGCCAATATTGTTGTATCATTAATTTTTTGTTTTTGGGCAGCACCATTGGCTTTAAAGTAATCATTTTAAATAAGATATTAATTGAATAAATTTTTGAATTTTTTTATTATTATTATAAAAAGAATTCGCAAAAGTCAATTGCAGTGAATCGCTTGCCAAAATTGCATTATTTAGTCCTATTCCTGGTCATTTAATATTATTCTTCTGGTGGGTAGCATTATTTTCTCATTTTGCTATTGCTTGCAATCGTCTTATTGCTGTAACACGTCCAATCCGTTACGCAAAAATATTTTCAACTCGCAACACCAAGATTGTTTTAATTTTCGTTTGGGCAATACCATTTTTATACAGTTTAATATATGAAATAAGTAAGTGAAGCACGCTTTTATATGTTTCTATCACAGTATTCAATATTCTGAAACTGTATGCAAATTCTAGATGCATTGCTAAGCTTGCTTTAAGTAAATGAAGTGCTCTGGATACTCGATAGATGCGCTCTTTGTGCTCTTTATGAGTTTATTCGCATTAAATTTTTTTTAATTTCATGATATTTGAATCAAGGAGGTGTGCACCTGAACTTCTTTCCTCAGGTGGATCTCTAACGATGGGCTCTTATCTTAATAACTAGTAAACCAATCAAGCTAGAAATCTTTAATGCTATTAGGAAAAGATATTTCGATGAAAAAAAGTCTCATAAGTAGTAAATTTCATCATTCTGAGGTTCATTTATCAGTCTCGGTTACCTAATTCTGGCGGATATTAATAAAAGTAAGTGGTCACGGCTCATCATTACTGGATAGACTCGCCTGTTTAGCTGTTGGTACCTGTTGGAATTTCTTTGTCTAGAAGCCACTTGGCGACAGAATTGCAGGTGGATCGTCAAACCAATAGATTTTTAATGACAGTTAAATCCTGTATTAAATTATCTCTCAGTACAACAATTAAGCTACTATCCATTCGGCTAGCTGTTAACAAAATTTTAAAGATTTTGGCCATAATAAACCAACATACATTTTGACAAAAATATATTTCAGAATATATAACTTCTGATTTATTCTCTAACTTAATTCTATGACTTTAGATGGGTGCAATTTTTATTTTAATCGACTCACTCTGAAATGGGAATATAGTGAAACAGCATGCGGACAAATGCTATCTACATACATCGATGTCATCATTTGTTATATGATGATTATATCGGTGCTTACGATCGATATAACTACATATATACTCATGAAAAGATTTAATTCGGTATTTTTTAAATGGAAAGTTGGCACAGCTTTGGCTTTATTCATACCATCTTGAACCTGGATAGAGCCCTTGGAAGTGGCTGTATTCCCTTTAATGCATTATTCAGTCTGAATTCTACTGAGCTGATCAAGTGCACATTGTTTTTCCTTACCTCATATGATTCCATAATTTATTCTCAACGCCTTCATTCACTGTCGTATTTCCTTTATGATTTCGTAATTTTTAGCTAAACTCGAAGCAAAACTGCTGGTTTTGAAAAAAGCTTTAACGAAGCATAATAGAAATGCGTAATGTTAAGGAATTATAATTGAATTTGAAGGATTAAACTAATAAGAAATAAGAAGTAGTAGAAATGGCTTTATTTTAATAGTAAAAGTTAGCGAAGGTTTCAGGTTTTAAAAGAAGTATTTAATGGAGTTTAAGGTTGCTAGCAAAATATAATGTGTTGAAGAATATGAACACTTTTGAGAAATTTCAACAGTTCGGGTTTCAAATAACTTTACTACTATGGCTATATTTCTTTTCGGACATACTTACCATGTTAACATAAATTATCACATAATTCTGCAATTTAATGCTTTTTTAAATTCATTCGTTTATGAACAAGCATGTACGATTCCCAGTTCATTGCCCTTCAGATTCTAATTTCACTGTTCAGAAAGTCGCGAATAATATTGTTGTGAAAGGTGCATCATATATACGTCGAAAGAAAGAAATTTCTTTCTACATTCAGGTTTTTTTTAAGAATTTAAGTTTAGTTTATTATAACATATAACATATGAATTTTGAAAAGAAAATCTGAATTGCTATAAATAGATAAACTCTTAAAAAAACCGAAATCACGAGATTGAGAAATCAGTTTTACTTAATACCATTTATATTTATTTTTTATGTGCACATTTCTTGCCAAAATCAAGAAAGGAAATGTTGGAAATTTAAGACTGATAGATGTTAACATACAAATCCGAAAAAGAACCGAAATATCCGACGAATTCAAAAATGTTTCAGGCTTGTTGCTCCATATCTGTATATTTGGTGACAGTCATTTTTTTTTATGGAGTTGAAGGTTATATTGATTCTCCGATAATTTCGTTTTATATGTCAACATTTCTTTGGGAAATAGTGCATATGATAGATGGGTAAATAAATTTTCAAAAACTATCCTTTGTTAACTTCATTTTCTATCCTTTCTAACATAAAAATAAATTGGATATCAATAATATTTTCAAAGCATCGACTTTTTATCCACAAAATGTTAAATGAATGGCAAATTTCTATTAAAATCTGATTTGAGGCAATAGATCTGTTCAATAATAGATTTGTAATGAGGCATAATAGAAATAGTAGATTAAGATAAAGCAAACTTAATAACTGTAATAACAAAATGGAAACCTTAATAACAAATATTAATAACAAAGTGGTTTCCACTTTTATTTTTAATGGACAAATATTCGTGGACACAAGGGGCATTCATTTTCACTAATTTTCAGATTTATTTTCACTGTCTTTCATGCAAAACAAAAATATTATGTCTCGCGAATTTGGGAAGTATCTCGAAATTATGTCAAAAATTTGGCACGAAGTTGAATTATTTCATTATTCGACTTTTTTCAAGAATTTATATATTTTCATGATGCGTAAAATTAAAAATTAAAAATTAAACATCAAAATTCACATTCTTTATTTTTATAAGAGTTTGATGAACACAATTCCTTTAGCTCAGTTGTTTTTATAATTGAAGAATATGAAACTGCAATCATGTTAAAAAAAGAAATTTATAATTAATGCTTGGATATATAAAGCCATATGGCCAAATTTTGTCCTATATTTGTAACGTAGGTTCACATCAGGTAATACATTTCGTAGATAGCGGAGGATGATCGCTGTTCGCATGTTTGGCAGTAATTTATGCGATGTTTTTATCTTCAATGACCATTTTATTCCAACCTTTAATTTTAAAACTGCAATTTATATTGAACAAATTAATAAATAAAATCTGTTTAGTAGTAATGAACGTAGCTTTCCCAAAATGCCAGAAGAAAGAATTACCACATATTCGGATAAGCCACAGAGCCTTACACAATCTAGACTTCCCTCACTGCTCAATCCTCCACTGATGCCAGCAATACCCTCACGAATTTAATCCATTTAGACTGAAATCCCCCTCTTATTGAGAAGGGCTCAGATACAACACTTCGCATCACACTTATTCAGGCGAAAGATGGTATTAATACATCATAGCCCAATGATATGGAAATTTTCAGACAAATTTTCATTGCAATTAACGCATCACAAAACAACTAACGGGTTGTTTAATAATTACTTTAGCTCTCTGCAATCTTTTTCATTATGTAACAGTTTCGAATAATTTGATGAAATTATTCACAGTTCAATCGAAGAAAAAGGTAATAATGACGACAAAATTTAGCGAGTCATCACATATTTCAAAAAAAATAACATCTTGTCCGCTTTATTTTATTCTTTAAATAAAGTCTATGAAAAAGATGGAAAATAATGTTAATGATAGAGCTAAACGACAATAAAAAATTCAGATGACTTTCACTGAGGGATAAGAATAGAACCCTATGGAAGTAAAACAAGTGAATGATGCTCATCATATCTGATCAGGCTTCGGACTGTTAGTTTTGTTAGGGAGAGGGACTTGATGGTGGGTAGCCAGCATCACCTCATTTTTTAGTGATAGATTTACCACACTGGCGGCAGTCCAACTCTTCCCCTGCTTTTCACGACACAATTTGAGTCACTATCCACTCGACTATTTTGCTGCTAATCGAATCTGCGATGGTCTTATCTCAGGCAGTATTACATTAGAACTTGGACAACATTACAGTAGACCTCATGCGATATATTAAAGCAATACACCGTTTCGCGATTGGTTCATTCCTTCTCTTTAATTGAATTGAAAATTAAAAGTTAAAACTACTATAAAATAAATGATTAAATAAATAAATCTTCTTCTTCTAACAGCTCTCACCATTATTGGCTAGGATGGCTCCAACGGCTACAAGGGTAAAACACCAAGCGGCGCGGTCTGATGCCATCGTTGACAATAAAGCCATTAGTTTTCCATCGTCAATATATTGCTGGTCCACCCATACGTTCAAAATTTTTTCTAATAGTATCAGTCCAGGTTTTGAATGGCTCACCTTGTTTTTGACACCACCCATCACATGGTTTAGCAAATAACGAAATATGCGACAACTCTCGTGGTGGTGGACGACGGAGAACGTCCCCTAACAAGCGAAGCCATTAATGCAAGAAGTATTTGAATAAAGGTGGATGCGACCATGTGATATTTTACCTGCTCGACGGGCCTCGAAAATGTACCTTAGACAAGACTGATCAAAGTCAGATAACTTCTTAATATTTTCCACCCCCATTAGCAATATCTCAGAGCCATGTAGCAAGATCGAACGGCTATATAGATGCGTGCTTTCGTTTTTATGGTGATTTCACGACGGCTCCATAAAGCTTTCATCAACCATGAAGAAAGCATTTGTAGCTGCCGTGATCCGGGTAGTAATATCGTCTTTTGCTTGACCATTTGGTATTCGAATGGACCCAAGGTATTTAAAATCGGGCATTTCCCCAATCGGCAATGAATTTATAAAAAGAATTTTATCAGCTAGCTGTAAATAAGACGAAGACTTTCGTTTTATTTTCAATGATCTTGAGTTGAGTCAGATTCTCGCTACAATTACTGATACATTATTTACTGTCATTATTTAACAATATTCGCATTTCGTTATAACTGTCAAAAGAAAGGACTACATCATCAGCGTATTCAAGATCTGTGATACAACGCTCTGGACTAATTTGGACACCCTTTGAGTGCCGACAAGCGTTGTCCATTATCCAGTCTATCTCATAATTTAATACTGTAGGGGAAAGGACACAATCTTGACGGACTGCGATTCTTATTTTGAAGGAGTCTATCAGCTCCCCATATAAACAGATCTGCACCGGCGTTTGCTACCAAAATACCTTTATACGTCGAATGATCTTCTCTGGAACACCGTATCGTTCCATCATCCTCCAAAGCGCCGCTCTATCAATTGAATCGAAAGCAGCAGCAAAGTCGATGAAATGTGACAGTGGGTTGGTGGGTTGCAAATATTTAAAGCGATGTTCCAGATTCCTTCCTAACAGAATATCTAAATATCTGGTTAACATAACCGTGCCCTGATATGAATCCAATTTGAATTAGTGCGCATCCTGCTGTCCCGTACTTCCATAAGTCTGTAGAGTAAAAGGGAAGAAAAAAAGGGAATTTTCGCAGAGAAGTCTAGTAGGCTGATTCCTCGATAATTGTCGCAATATCCTAACACTTTTCTTGACAACTGGAAGCAGAATTCTGCTTTAAGTTTCCAGGAGTCTTATTTGCCTTAAGCTTATACATAACGGAGATTACTTCTTCTTCTGTTGGAGGCTCGCAAGCATATGGTTCGGTGAACGTATCAGCTTATCGTGGGCAACAGATGGCGCTTCATGGTTAAGTTTATTTTCAAAGAATTCTTCCCATCTTATGAGACGGTCATCAATACTCTTTACAGGTACGCCATTGCTGTCCCTTACCATTTCACCGATCGTTCCCTGAATTATAGTTGCTTTATGAAGAAGACGGCATAGTTTCCTATTACCGCCTAATCGAGTCTATTCTCAAGGCCATGTCACTCCAGTAGTGATTTCTCGTGTTGCTTTCGTTGCAAATCATCGAAACATCCGGCAGTCACGATCACCTGAACATTCGAGCTTTGGCAGCTTTTTCAGACAGTTGGACAGTTGCTTCCGATACCCAACTAACGCACTTCCTACTAGTATGCCCTAGCGTAGAAATGGCTGACTTTCGGAGACATTCCTTTAGTTTGAACCAGTAATCATTTGCATTATTAACTATTTATCTATTTTATTGAGCCATATACGTTTAGTATATACGTTTATACGAGTCTATACGTTTTTATTTCGCGAACAATTTATTTATTTTTTTATTCATTGTTTCTATTTAGCAGATCTCGAGCATCAGTGTTCGGATCATATCTCCAATATAAACCTGTCATTAAAAAGTCCGGGGCATTGGGGCCAACCAGAACTGGTGAGGTTTGACCACTTACCTTTTAATTACTATTTCTGGTTAAAAGTTTTTAAATGAAGCATTTTAATTTATGCCTTCATATTAAGGCATTAAATATTAATTCATAAAAATATTGATACTGAGGAATTAAAGCACTGAGAATGAGAAGTATTACACTACAGTACAGTCGAAGTACCATTCACAGCCGACAACCGCTTAAACAGTACAAAACACGAAACATGACCGAGTTCATACCTACCCGATGTGATCAATTAGATGTGATCAGTATGATGTCACCTCACACATTAGCCCGCATAGTAGTAACTTAAGTCCGATATTTAGAAGTCAACAAGTCGTCGGTGTGTATTATCTTTGTTTTTATTTTATTTTTAATATATATATATATATGTATATGTATTTTAATATATATATGTTTTTTGTTTTTTTTCATTTAATGACATTTTTTTCCTGATTTTGATGATTGTCGGTTAAATGAGAAGTATAATTTCTCTTCTTTCGCAGCTTTTCTCATTTGACTGACCCTACTGGCGATTAAATTGAGGCCAATTCCCCATGGAATCGTATGAGTTTAGATGCGCAGTTGGGTATTTAATTTCACTTGCACCGCTCATATTTAGTTTTCCTAACACGTTTGTCCTCCCTCTCCGTTGAGAGTGGGACGGGTCCAAGTTGCTCGCCGTTAATGAAGTATGGATCGGTGATAATTTTATAAAAAATGAAACTTCGTTTGCGTCTGGTATGAAAAGTCTTTCTTCTTATTTACACTGGTTTGAGGATGAATTTTCATTGTTTATTGTAGTTCTTGATAAGTAACAACTAAGAAGACAAGCGTGTAGTACTAAGACTTTGCTAAGAAAAGAATTTTTTCGATTAAGAAAAACCCAATTTCATTTCATTGGATGCGAGTAAATTTTTCAGGACATTTGACCTGAAGAGAATGACGAGTGAAAGTGTATTAAAATTGGTTGGAATAAAGACTGGTGTTGTAAAAAGGCTTTATAAAGAATTGGCTGCTTATGAAAAAGAAGTAGAAAAAGAAACGGTTGAATTGGAAAAGCTGAAAACTGAAAGTAGCAGCGATGAGTTTCGAATAAAAAAACAAGCAGAATTGTTGCAAGTAAGATTTTTTTCAACATTAAATTATCTTAATCATATTTGATTTGTTTAATTTTTTAATATTTTCGAAAGTTTTCAACATTTTTTTGTAAATAGAAAAATAAGTGGTCAATAGTCACCATAATTAGGCTGATTCCATCTGCTGTTAGTACTTATTAGAAATTTTTGCTAAGGAATCTCTTAGCGATAGAAGTGCAGATGAGTCGTCAATGCTATTTGGGAATTATTTGTAATATTTAATATTCCAGGAATCTCAAGGAATGGTGTTGAATTGTTCTCGACGTTTGACTATAGCATTAGATGATTTGAAAAAGGTTTTTTTTTGTCAGAAACCAAAAATTTTCTGTAAATTTCTTTTTTCATATTTCGTTTCATTAGATATAAAATAATTAATAATTTAGAAATTTCTTATGTTTCTTTAGAATTACTTCCACTTCCAGCTTTGGCTGGCCATTTTACTAGTCTGGGACCATTTCATCACTCGGAAATAGAATTCCAAGCGAGTTTATACCAGTCTGATTTCACTTTTAATAGTAGGTCTCCTATCAAAAGGTAGGAGTCGAAGAAGTGATCAACCAAAGCAACATCCCTTATTTCCATTAATCATTTCTGTCCACAATGTTTTTTTTTCAGTTGTTCAGTTTCTTCAACAGCTTTTCACTTAAAATCAAATTTTTTCTCGGTTTTGAATTTTCTTTCATCGAAATATGATAGATGAACAGAAGTAAAAAAAATCGCAGAAGGAATATAGATACGTAAATAAGCGAATGAAAGCAAATCATTATATCGAAGAGTGGGAACATGCCTTTGTACACATTCCACTGTAGAAAAGAAAGAACAGAAAATTCAGTAATTTACTTTGGAACCTTGGTTCAGCGCCATATCCATTATGCTGAATGGCATAGTATTGGACAAACGGCTTGAAATATCAGCCAAATGAAATAGGATTATATGTGTATTTGTGCAATAGTTTAAAATCCTAATTGCGTTTCAATGGATCATTCGGATGATTTTTGATTAATGGACTCTTATTTTCAGCTGGTCGATAGCAATATGATTTTACTTGAAGGAACTGATCAGTTAAATGCTGCGATGGAACAGATTAACGCAAAGATCTCGTCAAATTAACGGCAGAATTTGCTTTTCAGTACTGCCATTATATTTTTAAATTAAAGTCTTCCGCCCTGTCATTTTTATTTGCTATCGAAAATGGTCGTATTATATATGATATATAGTACAATCTGATCGTTACCACTGATAAAATTAAATGATAACTGAAAATTATTCTTTTGCTTTCTATTTATATTTTTTTCTAAGACTTGCTTGTTGTCGTCCTCTTCTGTTTTTTTTTTTACCTGTTCAATAATAGATTAAAGAGAATCAGATCTCCGTTTTTCCTTGAAATACTTGAAGTTGAGTTATTAATCAAATAAAAATAGTCAGGTGGTGTGCTGTTGTGGGCTGATGTTAGTATTTGTTGATAATAATAATTAGAGGTATTGGAGAAACATATAGGAAAACTAACATTTTGTTTTGAAGAGTTATTTCATTTGTTAAATAAATCTTTTTTCGTTCAGGACTTATTTCCGTTGCCAAAATATTCATTTCACTTTTTTTGTTGTATCTGCATTTTTTTCTTCCAATAAATTCTTAATTCAGTTAGCTACCTAGTTAAAACATAAGTGGTTAATCTAGTTACAACAAAAGAAAAAAATAGCTCCACGTGCTATATGAGGAGAAATTTATGGATTTATAAATTTATTTTCACTTAAGAAAATCTGCCTTGACATTCACGATTTTTTGTGGAATCTGATTTTGGAAGGTAGCATCGAAATCAGCAGTATGGATGATTTTTAAATGGAAATTTTAAATCCCATGCTTTTTTTAGGCCAAAAACATCCGATGTACATTTAACATGGTTGTGTTTTGTTCACCTGTCGCTGATCATCTATGATTGTTCTCATGAAGGCAAATAAATGATTGAAATGGAAATAGCTGATTTATATTTGGAGGTGGCAGTTTATTGAGAAAAATTTAATGGAAGATTTGCATCGAATGCAAATTATGCTGGATTGTTGTGGACCATAGTAACTCTAAAAGCTGAAGGCTCTGTTTTTTATGGTTTAATGAGCAGACGTGATTCTTTTGCTGAAAAAACAGTGAGAAAATTTTGAATTCTTATCTCCCATCTGTAATTTTATTCAAAATGAATCGTTAGAACGAAATATTGATCTGAGATTCGTGTGCTATTCTATGTAATTTACATTGCAAACTCTTCTTGGTTACTTAAAATGTATTGCAAGAACACATCGGCTTTATATTACGAAGGAGCTACAAAAGATGGATGAGGATCTGTTCGAACTTGAGTAATTTTCATACAAAAGAATAATTTTCAATAATTTTTTCAAGTTAATGAAAATGAAATGAGATAAGCAAGATGGTGAAAAAAAGTATCTGACAATTTCTTTTTTACCGTTTTTTTTTCCACTGAAAAATATGATTTATAGCTGAGAAAAACATTTTCTTTTCAATATTTCCGTTTTTATTGGCATTCAGTGGCAAACCACATAATAAGAGAAAAATCAGATGTCAGCAAATCTATTCAAACGACTTTTATTCAATCAAACGATAAAAATATTTCATATAAAGTGGACAAAAAAAAATACAATAAATTTCACGTCGTTATTTCAAGGATTAATGGAAAAAAGTTTTAAACAAACATAAAAACAAAAAGTAGCTAATGCAATTTTACTAATGAAAATTTATAAGTGAAAAAAAAGAAAAGCGTTCAGATGACTGCTAATAATTTGAACTTGGCCATGAGATCGCCCTTTCTTTTTTTTAAGATTAACCGATTTTGACATTTTCGTTCGCATTTTGAAGAAATTTTGTAGTAAGTACTGAGTATTGAGTACTAGCTCAACTCAAAGACGTAAGTTTATGCTTGCTTCACTGGCTATAAATACTTGTTAGAAATTTTTGCCTGGAAGTCACCAGCCGATAGAAGTACAGAACCACCCGGATTCTTTAAGTTTATTTGAGTTAAGTTTGACAAGTTTATTTCTGTTAGATATAGAAGCCAAATCTTTATTTGTGTTTACTTAACCATTATCCGAGTTTTTTTCTTTTAGACAAAATGCAACCAAATTTTTAAAACAGCAAAACACTACTGATTAAATAGTCAAAAAAGGAACTAACCTATGTCCAACTTAAACAATATGCTCAGAAATTTACAGATTGATGAAGGAAATACATAAACATTTTATAAATGTATTTGGAAATCTTTCAAGCTATCATTAGACCTCTCCCTTGTTTGGTCGCCATCTATAGCCTCAATATCTTGCTTATCATGCTTAGCAATATTGGCAATTTCTGAAATATTTTTAGCGAAATTCTTTGTATTCCTAACAACTGAAGAAATTTCAGTAGTCATATTCATGGAATCTTTAATAACATTAAGAACATCTTTGACAGTATTAGATATATCTTCCGTAATAACTGAAATGCTCGCATCAGTTGTATCCTTTTTAGGAGTATCATTAGACTCAGTTTCTTCACTAGAAATTTCGTTTTCGACACTGTTTGCATCTTCAATACTTTCAGTGCTTTTAGAAGCGTCTTTGATTGCTTCAGAAATATTCTCAGCAATCTTAATATCTTTAATATTCCCAGAGTCGATACCTTTAGCTTTAGCTGTGCTTTTGGCTTTATCTTTAACAGTGTCCTCAGAGTCAGAGACAAAAGAATCGCGCTCGGTAGTTTTGGAAATATCCTCGACAATTGGAGAAGTATTAATTTTTTCAGCAATCTTCAGCTTGGCAACATAGGTTTTTTCTTTCACTTTTTCTTTGACAGTGTCCTTGGAATCCTTTAAAGGCTTAGAAATATCCTCAGTGATCTCGTAAGTATCAATATCAGCACTAGTATCAGGCTTGGTAGCTATATTTTTAGTTTTATCTTTAGCAGTGCTACCAGAGGCATCCTTAACAGCCCCTGAAATGTTCTTAACAATCTTAGAAGTTTCAGTAGTATCAAAATTCATGGTACCAGAAATGTACTTGTCGATTTCAACATTATCCCCAGCTGTTTTAGAAATATCCTCAGTAACCTCAGAAATGTCGCTTTCTGGAGCCTCATAATCATTATCATCGATATAAATCACTGATGCACGATGCTGAAGAGGACATCTCATATATGTTGAACTTGACACATTTCTATGAGCTACTTTCGGCATCATATTTTCTTTCTTAATAGCTGAACATTCATTTGCGGCTGAACTTCGCCTAGATTTTTCCGCGATTTCTGCTTCATCTTCTTCAACATCCACACTGTTTAATTTGGACAAGTCTCTTAAATGAGCCAGCTTTTTGTGGAATATATTATATTGATGAAGGACTGGCTCTGACTGGCGCCGACTTTGCTTTCCCTCATGACTTGTTTTTGAGGCATCGGATAACGGATCGATATCATTAGGGTCATCATCATCTGAACTAGATGTACAAGCCAATGACTGTCGTCGAGGAAAACGTCGATGTACATTAATTGGTGGTAGTTCATCCTGAAAATAGTTTTTTATTGTCAAAATAATAAAAGCTCAGATGAAACTGGCACAAAAAACCAAGGATGTCCGTTTAACAACTGAAAATATGTAATTAACTCGTATATTTTCCATTTAAAAATCATGAAATTCGATAATTATGCAGAAAAATTTTGTTGATTTGAAAAGTAATTGTGTTGATCTTTTTTGAAGAGTCCTCACCATTACTGGTTACTCGCTCCGCTGGCTTGTCACATCGCACAAATATGCCAGGAGCCCCTTGGTGATAGAAGTACAGAAGTATAGAAATACTGAGTCGCCAGCATTGATCGGATTTTTGGACAGGTTTATTCCTGCGGGGAATAGAACCTCAGCATCGTCGTTCCGAATTGAAGAACAACATACTGAGCCAATCTATCCCGAAATTTGTTGATGAGATTTGTTTAAAAATTGTGATTATGTTAAGAATCAATTTTTATCAACAGATAATTTACGGAAACTGAAGATGTTTTGTTTGCGGTTACAATTGTAATAGTTCTTTACATGGTTCTGATAAAATTTTTAGTTGTTATTTTATAACTCAATGGCTGCTTTCTTCGACTGAAGTCAAGCAATGTGAATAATCGGCAGAACCAGCCAAAATAGAAATGCTGATAGTTAGAGTTACTTAAAAATAAAAATTCAGTGATGACCGCGAAAGCGTAGCATATCGATCCTTTTGAATTAGAAAATCTCTTCAAATAATGGTATGTATATATTTTTGAAATGGGTTGATGGAGGATAATGGAATAAAAATGAACTGTATATGTTTATTTTTTCATTTCATGTTTATTTTCATTATTATGCTCAGGTGCATGATCAGAAAACAACGAAAGATTTTTATCTGCTTTTTACTATGGAGCCTTCTTCTTTGACTGGTTGCCTCTTGCTCCATTGCTTAACAGAGAATAACAGCAGCTATTCCTTTTTCCGTTGTCTAAGCCCATAGATCATTGGTTCATTTATTTATTCAAAATCTTTCTCGACTGCACCAGTCCAGGTTTTGATTGGTTCTCCTCGTTTTTAACACTTCTATCCATCATAGATCTTAGAAAGTAGCAAGATATATGTCAATTTCTGCTTTAAGTTGTGAAGAAGATGGCCTAACCAGCGTAGGAGAGATTCTATGATGATATTATTAATTTACCTGGTATCTGAGCAAAAGCGGATGCAGTCGCGTAAGAATTTATGGGGGCATGCCGTATGGGAATGTTCAGACAAGTGTCTAGCGTCTTAATATCCTCCACATGCTTCGTAGCCATATGGTAAGATTGCGCGTACTACATGAACTTCTTGTTGTTGGTAATTATGCCGCGATTTTATAGAAGCTTCGCCAGCCGAAAGAACATTTCTAGTTGCAATTATTTCGACTGCAATTTCATCTTTCGCTTGATTGTTTTCTTAACATGAATATCTAATCAACACTTCCTCGCTTTGACCTGAAGCCGGCTTGTTTAGGGCGCATTCTGTTATCTCTTACTATCATAAGTCTACTTTCAGCAAAAAAAAGCAAAAATTTTCCCAGAAATGCTGATTCTAATAAGCTAATTGTTCAATAGTTGTCACAGTATGTCCTATAAACTTTCTTAGGAATTGGGAGTTGCAGTCATGCTGCAATCATAGACATTGGTTCTTTCTTCCACAACAAAAAGTAAATCATTGAACATCATAATAATCATCATAAAGTACATCATTGAACGTGAATTATAAAGGACATGGGCAACATTTGAAGATTTCAGCTCAAAGACCTTCTTTTCCGGGAGTTTTTTGGGCATAAGCTTGTGAATGATGGATTATTTGTGATTATTTCTCGCTGATGATTCACAGATATAATATATGGTAAATATATATAATACATATAATATAAATGTAATATATTTATTATATATTTATATGTGACTTATTTATTATATATTTATATGTGACAAATATATGACTTGGCTAGTTTCAGGTTAAATTTGGCCCTAAAAATTTCCCTCCACCGTACAAGGCTATCTTTAATAACTTTAACAGCCACATCATTGTTATCCCAGTTCATTTCATTGACCGTTTCCCAGGTTATGGTTGCTTTATGAAGACGACGGAATAAGGCCATAGTTCCCTATTATCGCCCACTCGAATAGCCATTTATATTGTATTGAATAAGGCCATATCACTCCAATAGTCGTTTCTTTCACGCCGTGCTACTTTTACTGTAAATATTGAAGCACCTGATAACAGGAATCTCTTCATATTCGTGATTTGCAAGCCTTTTTGATATCCAACCAACACTTGGATTTGGCTAACTTTCCTTAGTTATTAACCGGCCGTTCCAAAGGTGCCATTAATATTTACATCATTGAGGTGCTTCAATAATCCAGCTTGAAATGTACTTACTTTCCCCGAATCTTTTAGTTTGAAATAGTTGAAAGATCTCGGAATATACTGTTTCTTGCAAGTTGTCAGTTTTATGCTGATCTTGACTCGAACCATAGCATGGTCTGATCCATGAAGGTTGGCAGTTTCAGTGCCGCGATGCAGCTATCTAGTACAGAACTCTTCCAAAGGCGACTGACCAGGATATGATCGCTCAAGTTGGGATGTTGTTATCCGAGGATTTCCATGTGATTATATTTTTTTCGATGTTGGAAGCATGTATTTGGAACAAAAAGTTCATGCATTTGGGCAAAACGAAGAAGGCATTGGTGTAGCGGGCCCTGACTCCATATTTGTCAATCCAAGCCAACCATGGCAGCATTGTAAAACCTACCAGTGCATTCCATTCTCTCCCAATTATACCAAGTCAAATTTCGCAAGAGATATTGTTAGCAGTTGGAGTACCGCATAGAACCTATCTTTGTAGGACTATCTGCGCATAAAGTAGAAGTTGACGACCAAATCAATGCGAAACTTTCAGTTGAAGAGGAAATATGCCAGATGATTGCTAAATAGTCAATCAGAGCGAGCTTTTAAAGAATCGTTACATCACTTCCCACCGACTTATTCGAAGTGCCACCATGATATACCCAATATTTCCGCTAGAAGCTAGGTTTATTAATGACTTAAGATCCCAAATGAGAAAAAAAGATTTCCAACAAGCAGGCAATGTCCACATAGTCTTTGGACAGAGTGTGGGCAATGGTCGCAAAGTTGCTAAGCATTCTGGGGTTTATGCTGCCACGGCCAAAAACTCGCCCTGCAGAAGGTCTATAGATTTTTTTTTGGCTTGAGAGGTTACCTTGGCTCGAGAGTTTCTTTACTCTCAAGCTCTGGAATCGTTTTATCACTCGGATTATATACTTATTGCATGCAACACTGGCTAAGGTATGTCGAAGCACGCTCTTTATCGAGATAACCCTTTCATTACAGTCATTTAGGAATAAAAATACAGGTGAGTTCCCAGCAATCACCTCGATTTTTATTTTCATAACAGGTTTAGCCCTGTAAAAAACAAAGAGACAAAAAATAATAAAAGGAAAAACAGGATTTCAAGATTTCAGGGATCGATAATTATTAGTTTTGTCTAAATTATTTTATAATATCGTGCTCGCTCATCAGGATTCTGCTCGGGAGAGATAGAAATAAAGCTGGGTCGCCAACTCCAACCAGATTTTTAATGATACTTATTGGAGGCAGTAACCGAATATTTATCTCTCAGCATGATAGTCTGGGCCTTTGCTTATCTTGTAAAATAGAATTTTTATTCCATATATTTCATTTTGCAGAATGTACATTAATATTGACTCGAAATGTCGTTAAATTCTAAAACCTGAAAATTCCTTCTATCTTAACAATCAGCCCTATCACGCCCTAGCTCAGTTAATGAAACAAAAAGTTAGTTTGATCGATCATTACTGTATAATTTTGTTTATCACGAAAAATGAAATTTTCATCAATCAACTCGTTTCAATTAATTTTAGCTCGAGAGCACTTAAATCACGTTTGATCAATGATTAAACGACATTCAAACTAGACTTCCCTTATAAATTGTTTATAATTTTTTTTCAAGACGCTATAGATTTTTGGTCCAAGATTCTGTAGAAAAAATTCAATCAGTTTCTTCCTTCGATGTAGAAAATTATCGGTATTGTAATAAATTTAAGATTAAGGAAGGGAAGGGAGAGAGGAGAAGGAAGAACGCGGGGAACCGGGGACTGCTCGAAAATTTTTACCAGTCCTCTTTGCTTTCACTATGCTTCAATTTGAAGTGCGCCTTTTAAACCCAAATTTCTAGAAAAAGGAAAATTTCATCAAATTGCGCAATAATTGCTTTCGCAAGCCATTTGTAGAACGATAATTGAATTACCGTAACTCAAAGAATTTTTTCTAGTTCTTTCGTATTTTGGTTTTTTCGAGTTTTTTATTATTCAATTAAGACTTGGATAATTTTTTTTTTGATCGTAAATCTATAATGCAATGTGGAATTGTTATGTGCAAGTAATAAAAAACTACTATCAAGAGGAGAGTCTTCTTGCAAGCCGAGAAAAGTTAACCGACAAGCGAGCCAAAATTAAAGAAAGAATTTGGCCTGAAAATTCACAGCACAACAAAGACTGGCGGCCACTCACCACTATTTACAAACTATGAAATGGCGTGGGGAATATGTAAAAGAAAACGAACCTAAACAGGCGCAAAGGCACGATTTACTACAAACTGCGCTGAAGTATAAGTAGAAAATTATGAAAAATTCAGTAAATCGCCTAATAATAATGTTGAAAGAAATGAAACGCTATAACATAACCTGGCAGATAAATACGACGATCTAATTGGCTGTGAAAACATTTAAGAAGTTATTAACATGATTAATGCTCTCGATTTCGGGCAGGTAGAATAAACAAATAATTCTTCTAAACATTAATTTCCAACGAGAAAACGGCCCTAATTGCTGTTTTTTTTACCCATTCGTAAAACTTGGTTTAAATAAGCGATGCCCGCATGATGCTGACGACCCTGACACTTGCACTTCTCCAAGTTGCCATGTGAATCTCAGGCGAAACGGTTCCAGGCTAACAGTCGGTGCAACGAGCCGAAGTAGTATTAACGAGTGCTATTAGAAGAAGAGAATGAAGAAATAAAAGACGTCACTCTAAAAATCTCTTTAAATTGTTCATAAATTACTTTTTTCTATTAATTATCTTTTAAAAATTATAAATCAGGCATTTATGAATCCAATAAATTTTACGTGAAATCACGCGGAAGTTACGTGTTTTGCGAGCGATCATTGATTCCGCAGGTTGCAATTACTTTTTTCTATTAATTATCTTTTTCTCAGATTACTTACGCGGGAAGAGCGCTTCGCTACCGTACCTCATAAGAATTCATTCGTAGGAAAAAAAGAAACGGGTGACACAATGATTTATTTTGAAACGAATTCGTAACGGTTGTCAACAGTTGTGGAATAAAAGTTTGAAAAAAATGCGAAAAAAGCGATGAGAGATACGATAATCGAAGAAAGCAGGCTTGAACAAAACTTTTTAGATTGTGAAAAAAAACTAACTGAAACTCCAACTGACAAATTGAGCGAATGACGCCGCGCAAAAGGATTTCGGGCTGTTTTGTGGTCAATGGGAGTTCGATCCAACGTCGAGCTGCGCCGGCTCGAACTGTCTGATTTCGGTTTAAACTGAGGCCTGCGGTTCATGTTGGCGAAATCGCCAATCATATTAACGAGTGAATCGCTTAACTTCATCGTTCTTTACCGGCAACCAATACAACACTAACAACTAAGTGGTGATCGGCGTCGTCGTCGTCTTCCTCGTCGCCCGTTCGTTCAACAAATCAAATCGAATCACCGCCGAATTCCTGTTTCATTCCTCTTTTTCTATGCCTATTTTCATCTTTTATCATCATTTATTATTCGATTAGTTTTCTTTGTCATGAAATATAGAAAAAAATGTTCTTTAAACAATCAAACAAAAACGAAAAAAATGAAGTTTTTTTCTCAAATCAATTTCAAGAAATACGAAAATTGTCTCAATTTCAATATAAAAAAACTTTGTTTATTTTGACAAAAACCATTCCTTTGCAAATTTACTCGATGCACACTCATTCGCTTATAAATTTCCACCAACGGTGGTACCAATTGCCCTGAAATCACGTTTTTATTTACAAATTATGATTTATAGATTAATCGTGTCACATTGATTTCAAGGAAATCAAATTTCATCCATGCGACAATTTTCTTACGTATATTTCGAAATTCATATTTTATTTTTGTGCACAAATCATTTCTACAGTTGCGAACAAATTACAGTGAAAAATCTGCCAAAATCGGACCTATGGGCTGCTCAATGCAATACTTCACTTTACTCATTCCTAAAATTTTTTTTAACAGTACTTCACGAAGATTTCGTTTACGCTGCAAACACTTCGACCGCTAAATAGTTCTTCGATTGCAAAGTAGCAATATAAATTTTGAATTTAGCCGAAATTTGCCATGTATTATATTATTGATCGGTAGAATTGGCGGACTGGATACAATAATATGTCATGTGAGGTTTGTTCTGGAAGTTGTCTGTTGATGCATAGTCATGTGGTGTTGTCCAAAAAGGTCCTGTGGTGTTATCGGGAAGGGTGGTGTAAATTATTCAAGTTGTTTAAATTCTTGTAGTTTTTCGAATTCTATGTTGTGCTTTGTAGAGACTGTGACTGTGCACTTTGTTCTTTCTTTATTTTCGCTTTTTTATGATTTATTTATTTTTTCATAGCGTTCCTTTTACATAAATTTTACATTACTAGATTTTGTTGGGACTCTATTTAATGATTTAAGTGTAAAAGAACCATGAGTTGGTATAAAACATCGAGAAATTTTGAAGTTATGACAATATGGTAAAGTAGGAATGGGGGGGGGGGGAAAAAAATATTTTGTAAATATGAAATATAATGGAGTTGATGAGGCGATGTAAGTGGCAAATGACTTTTGAGTTAATGAGACGAATTGGTGATGGAATACAAAAGAGTTTGTGGATGTTTTGATGGGACAAAATAGAGATAAATTTTGGATCAAAGAAGTGTAAGGGAAAGGGTTTCGAATATATCAAAGGAGTTCAGTGGGATTTGAGATATGTACAGTTTAAAAGGATTTAAAGATTTTCAAGAAAATATTAAAGGATGCGATTATATTGTTTGCTTTTTTTTCTCGCTTATCTTCAGTGGGCGTTTGCGTTAGTCATGATACTGTTTTCTTTACATTTTTTAAATTCAATTTGTATCTGCGTTTATGGCGAAAGATGTAGCATTTGCAGTAGAAAGGTGTTTAAAGTTGTATCGTTAATATATTATATTAGATGGTAACATGGCGAGATTTTGGAGGTTTTAAGAGACTGGTAGAATTAGTATAATATAAAGGGACATAAAGTATTGCAATTGGGTTTTGGTATGATTAGGAAAATTATGGAAGTTTTGGATGCATGGAGCGTTATAACAAACTATGAAAAAGTTTCATAGGGAATATGGTGGTAACTTAGATTAAAATAGTATAGGAATTTAAGGGAGAGTTACTAATGGCATACAGAAGAGCCTGATGAAACATAAGGATAAGCGATATTTTGAGGGGTGTTTGAGAGGTCAAGAATGCTCTGAGGAAATTACAAGAGCAATAAGACAGGATTTGAAAGGTTTGAAAGAGTTCTGCGGTAAATAATAGCATATTATTTACGAGTTAGGATAGAGTTGAACTTTGAGCGTGGATAAGGTTTGGAGGAGGAATTACCAGATAACTGGAATAAGGGACTGTGTTAACGGGGATTGAGAAGAATGTTGACATGGCAAAAGTTTGGCAGGTTTTGTAGAAAGATGTTTTTTTTTCGATGTAATTAATGAACTAACATGAAAGATGTGAAAGAAAATGCGAACTTGACCATAACAAACAAACGTTTCGATTTCTATATATGAGAATATTTTTATATAAATTATTTTAATCCCTGGAATGTATCATGCCTGCTCTGGGTCTTGTTCTTTGGATTTCTTTCGTTTTTGTCGAGGCTTATTTTAAGAGAGAGATCTCTTAACTTTTAAAATCGGAAGCATTGCCCTTTTTTCACTGGCTTTGTAGAAGATTTTAAATTTTGTTCGATTAACGTTTTATTTTAAAATTTTGTTATTGCATTAATTATGAGGATATTGTAATAATGTTGCAGAACTATCTTTAAAAATTTTGGAAAACTGTATTTGAATTAAACGAAAGGAAATGGATGATAAATTCAATGAATCGACTCTTGCTAAAACAATTTTAAAAATAGCTCGTCTTCAGCTGGATCTAACGAGTAAAGTCGCTGATTTGGAGGTTGTCTTTCAAGCACTTAGCGATACTTTCCTTCTTTTTTATTGTAAATAAATAATTATTCAATTAGTTCAATTTTTCGAAATTAAATTTACCAATTTTTTAAATTTATAAATTTTTTTACTTGTGATTTATTTTCGTATATTTTCGTTTCTCAATTTTTTTTTTATAGTTTTCTATTTTCTTAGTTTTTTTTTTAAAATTTAGACAATGACTTTGTCAAATGTTTCGTAAACCGCTTTAATTTTTTCGACTGAGATTATTTGTTTTAAGAATGGGCAAAAAATGATAATTGAAGAGCTTCGTCAGTGCCGAACAAATTCTAAGACATTGATGGACATTATAAAAATGTTTAACGAAGTTATTTTTATATTTTATATATGTATATATGTTACATAAGTTATAAGTTATATTTTTTTTTAATATTTTTTTTAATTTTGATGTAATTTTTATTCATTGATTTTGCGCTGATATATTTAATATATTTAATTGATATATTCTTTAATGCGATGAGTTAAATGTGAATTTCCACAATTATTTTTTCTTAAAAATTCTTCAACACTGCCGAGGTTTTGTTATTTTATTTATTTTATAGCGTCATGATCTGGAAATCGATCGGCTCATGAAACTTATGAAAATAGGTCAAGATTCTTCCAGTCTTTCAAAAATTAACGTTGAACAGCAGCCTGGTTTGTTTTCTTAATCTTTGATATATGGTTATACAAATGTCGACTCATATTTTAAAAAAATTTTTGTGCTTAATATTCATCAGCTACATATGCCTTCAGTCGCAACAACACATGTAGTTACAACTCCTGCAAAAGTAGCTGTTAGTACTGAAGGGGGAATCATTTCGGATGAGCTACAGTTATATCATCAGTTACAACAACAACAGCTCATGAATCTTTATGCCAGTCCATCACGTTACTTGGTTAGTTTTTCGGATTTCTGTATTTCGTAGTTTCAATTTTGTTTTTGGTTAAATCTATTAAATTTGCTATATGGTTTAAAAGCGTTTCTTTAAATTTGTATCGAATGTATATTTTTTTATATTTTATATTTCGGTAGATAATTCGTTATCTTATGATTGTCTTGTTTAGATTTTTCATTGCTACCATTTTTAGGCTCCATCATCGACCACAACGAATTTACAGCAATTACAATGGAATCAAATGGCTCAGAATTGGATGGGAAGGTGAGGCGACAAGTTATTTCTGCTTAAAGTTATTTGTTCATTGAATGGCGTTTGCCATCTTGAACCATTTTTCGCTTTACTAATGAAGATTGAAGATCAATATATTTCATTTTAATTTAGATTTTCAAAAAGGACCATTATTTTTGTGGCTGTGAATTTAAGAATTAAATTTTATTTATTATATTCCAGTCATTTATATTCAACGGTAGCTGCTTGGCAAGCGGCTTCACAAGGATTACCCAAACCAGTGGGAATTTTGCAACAGCAGCAGGTCGGTTCGACTGATATTGCTCGTCCACTTATTCCACAGTCAATTCCATTTGCTTCAGATATCTGTCAGCAGCCGACTATATTTAATACATGTAATAAATCTTAAACATTAACAGATTGTTTAATACGTTAAATGTTACCAAATATTGAAGAACTTAAAATATTGAAGAAGTTCTTAATTAATTCTTCTGGGTAGAGAATAATGTTCTAAAATTGTCCATTTATTTCTTTTTTTTAATATAATTTTTCCAATTATCAGTGAGTAAAACAAGTAAACCAGTTGAAACAAAAGTTGGTGATACAACTGGAAATAAGAAGGGCCAGTGTCTACCAGATATGCCCAAGTTGTCTTGCGAAACTCGGGTTTCTGATGCCAACACTCAAGCGCAGCCATTTGTTCCATCCAGCAAAAGTTAGAAAAAGTTTATCCAATGCTTTTTTGTTCCCAAGTTTTTTAGTATTTACTGTGAAGTAGATGGAAACATCTGCTGAAGCGTTTTTATCTGATATAGGAATATTTTCGGATCTTTGCCCATTTTTTATCTGTAAATTTCCAGAAATTGTGGATCATTTCAATTCTAAGAATTGATCTTTTCAGATAAAACATCGAATTTAACACTTGCGCCTGCTTCATTTTCGTTTGTTTCTCCAACATCTCAAGAGACATTGGGCAAAACTTTGGTAATGAGCAGTGGATTAGATTTAAGCGGAGCTGCGCGCGAAACCATAGGTGCACAAAGAATGCACAAAGAAAGTGAGAGAGAAGGTTATCACTCTATTTGAAAATATTTCGGTTTTATAGAATGTCGGACAATTTCCTCTTTATTATTTGTTGCGTCTTTCTTGAAACCACTTTTTCAACGTTTGTTATTCGGAACAAATTTATTGGTATTATTTTCTCATTGTCGTTGTAGGGCTCTTCGAGTTGTTCGAATAGTGATAATTGTTTTTAATTTTCAGAAGTTGATGAAGAAGCACCAGAACGTTTTGAACCATCTGTTCATTTCGAACCATTAGTTCCTTTGCCTGAACTGATTGAAGTAAAAACGGGTGAAGAAAATGAAGTCGTTAGTTTAATATAAATTTTTGAGTTGAAGTTATATTTTTTCTGCCTTTGTTGCAAAAAAAGCTTTTTTTTGCCAGATTCTTTATGATATCATTTTTTGTATAATCATCTAACTACAAATTTTTTGTTGTTTTTGTGCAATATTATAATCTTATTTTTTCGTATTATAGGTGCTTTTTTCTGAGCACTGTAAGCTATATCGCTATGTTAATGATACAAAAGAATGGAAAGAACGGGGTGTTGGTGTCCTTAAGATATTGCAAAATCCTGCCACTAAAGTTTGTCGTATTGTGATGCGTCGTGACCAAATTCACAAGGCATTCATTTTTAAATATTTGATAATCCCTGTTTTTTAGTATTGTAATTTTTTCTTTTGTCTTTTGTCTTTCCTACTATAATTAAAAAATGAACATTATTTGATATGAATATCCTATATATTTTATTAGGTGTGTGCAAATCACCAAATTCATTCGTCCATGCGTTTAACTCCAATGCCGAAATCTAATCGTGCTTATGCTTGGATCGCCCGTGATTACTCTGAAGGTGAAATGGTTGACGAAAAATTTGCTGTGCGTTTCAAATCCGATGATTTAGCGAGCAAATTCCATAATGCCTTTGATGCAGGTTATGTTTGTAAAAAATCCATGAAACTTCAAGCTCAATTTATAGTATTTTTAATTTTAGAACTTATGTTCCTGATGTATTAAATAAAAAAAGTTAATTTGATTGAATAATAGGCTCATTAATTCATCCATCATTTGTTAAATAGTTCCAGTGAAAATATATGAATTCGGTGACCATTTCATATGCCCTTTACCTTAGAAGTCAGGTCTCTTGTTTGTTATTTTTTTTGTTTTTATGTCTTGTTTAGCATGTAGAAATTCATCATAATATATTTTCTTTTTCTTCTTATTTTTAGTTATTTTTATTATATAGATTATTTCAAGATCATTATTTATTCATTTTTTTAATTTTGCATTCTACTGTTAAGTCAGTAAAGTGTTACGTCCTTGTCCTTATATCCTTTTATTTATTTTAAGCAGTTCATGCCAGCCACGATGGCAAGAATACACAGGTGAGCAAAGAGAAAAAAGCTACGGACAGTATCGAAGCTACAAAAAACAGATTTGATATTTTCAAACCAGCTCCTGGAAGGTTAAATTTTATCCCAGCTATCATTTTACTTTTCTCATAATTATTGCAAAGAAAAACGTTTATTTATTCATATCATAATTTATAAGATAAATTTTTCTACTTTGTTCCTTATTTGCAGTTGGGAATGTAAGGCCTGTTATGTTTTTAATAGAGCCGAATTAAGAGAGTGTGAATGTTGTGGGACCAGTAAAGAAGGCACTACTGTTCATCCTTCTACTTCGTGTACTTTTGAAAGGTTAATTGAATGATTTCTAATTTTCTAAAAATTTTGCATGTATAATTTTCTTGAATTAGAGTTGCGGAATGAGCGATTTATACAGAGGTGGAAAACGTAAGTGCGAATCAAATTGTGTGAATTTTCGATTTGCAATGGTCTTCATTTTATGTCCTAATTAATTAATATTTGCATTTTTGAAAACAATAAATTAGTTTTTTCGAATTCTTTAACAATATTCAATTTGATTATTTTTCCAGCAAGGCTTTAAAACCCGCTGTTCCATTCAAAGGATCAGAATTTTCTTTTGGTCTGAAACCTTCTGTTATGCCAGAATTTTCTTTCGGCTTAAAATCTTCCACTCCCAGTAGCACAACAGCTTCTGAAGACCATTCTAGGTAAGTTTCCACCTAATGTGATTTGAATACAGTTAATGGGAATCGTTTGGAAAACGAGATATCGAGCATTTTCATAAAAGTATTTTGATCGAATATTTGCAATTATAGAACTGTGGTCGCTGCTACTGCTTCAACAACAACTACAACTACTGTCACTTCATCTACACCCCAAGAATCTGTTACAAAAGCCCCCTCAGTGCAGTCTTCATCACTTCCTTCATTTAGCTTTTCACTTGCTGAAGGCTCGACGCGGGCGACTAATGAGTATCACTTTTTATTTTTATAAACTTAATGCCTAGTGTCTTGGCTGATTGATTTTAGATTTCTTCAGTGGTCTTACTTTTTCTAACCATTATGTTCAGGCTTAGTTGCGCTGGCTATAAGTCGTTTCCGGGCTGTTAAGTCCGAGGCCACCGCTGAAAATAGTAGAAGCCATTCTTTCCATAAGTCCTTAAATCGCCGATTTACCTATATGTTCAAAGTTTTCGCTAGCAGTGCGATAAATATCAGCCCAGGTCTTGATTGGCCCTCTACGTTCTTGACACCAACGATCATAGGGTTTAGCTAGCAACGAAATATGTGTCAGCTCTCATGGTGGGCGATGAAGAACTTGACCTAATCAGCGAAGGCGACACTCTGTGGTGGTAGTGTTAATACAAGTGGTATTTGAGTAAAAGTGGATGTGGTCATGCAAGATTTTATCCACTCGGCGAACCCGTAAAATATATCTGAGATATAAGTGGCCAAAGGTGGGTAACTTGTTAATATTCTCCGCTCTCATTGGTCATGTCCCACAGTCATATAGCAAGATCGAGCAGCTATGTAGTATTAATTATCTCATAAAAGTTTTGCCAGCCATAAGAACGCATTCCTAGCTATGGTTATCCGTTTTGTAATTTGATTATTTTTCACTTGGCGTTATTTTGGGATTAGAGTGGAACTGTGATATTTTAAATATGGCATTTACCCAACCGACTGTCTATTGATGAAAATATTTTAGCAAATTCTGACATATATAAGACGAAAAGACTTTCATTTTGTTCATATTGATCCTGAGTCCGATTCCCGTTGCAGTTGTCGATACATTGTTTAACATTATTTGCATTTCATCATAAGAACTCCATCATCTATGTATTCAAAGTCTGTGGTACTATGATCTGGACTGGTTTGTATCTCTTAAATGACAATAAACCATTATCCATCGCATAGTTGAATATTGTAGAAGAAAGTACGCAGCCTTCAGTATAAACACTAGTTCTTATTTCGAAAGAGTCTTTCATTTCCCCGTATACATAGATCTGTGCCGATGTCCGCTGATGAAATACAGCACTATTATATTCCATCACCTTTTAATGGTTTTATGTCTAAATTGTGCTTTTGTTCGTTTTTATACTCTTCAATTTTAGTTCCACATCTTCGCATATATTTTCATCGTGGTTCAATCAAAAGCAGCCAGTAGCAAATACGCCTACTACTCCAACTACCGTTACAACTACTACTGTTACTATTACCGCTGCTACTACTACCACTACTACTACGACAACAGTTCTTCAAAACGCTTCGCCATCTGGTCTAACAACTCAGGGCTCAGCTCCATTCTTCGGTTTCCAAAGTTTGCTAATTTTTTCAGATTTTTACTTCTTATTTTATTTTGTTTAATGTTTTTTTGAAAGATCTTTCTTTAAATATTTTTATTTTTTTTGAGTCCGTTTTAAGGCGGTTCGAGAACAAATAATTCTTTATTTGGTCAGGCACCCATATTTAACTCTGCAGCTGCGGTGTCATCGTCTCAAGGTACAAATTGCTGACATAAATCAAAACCAGTTTTTTAGTACATAAGAAATCTATTTTTTCTTTTATTTGTCTACATCACTGATCGTTTGGCTTCCTCCAATAACGTTTCTAAATCTTCCCATTCTATGCCAGTCCTGAAGTGAATTGAAATCATTTCCTCCAATAACGTTTCTAAATCTTCCCATTCTGTGCCAATCCTGAAGTGAATTGAAATCATTTCTTTTTGCATCACCTAAGCTCATATGTAACTGAGCCACCTATGTATCCAAAATCTCTGATCATACCTCTTTCCAGCTCTTGATTGGTTATCCAAGCTTTTGACACCATCCACTAAAAGGATTTAGCGAGTAGAGAGATATATGTAAATCTCTGTGGTGAGCGACGAAGAACACGGCCAAACTAGTGCAGACGAGTATTTTGTGACGATATTATTAATGTGATATTCCAGCGAAAGCGTTTGCTTGAGATCCCACTTAGCGTTGCATACAGGATGTATCTTAGGTCAAAGACAAAGAGAAGTAGATTCCTGATATTTCCCATTCTCATTAGTTATTTTTACTGCTATATGTTAGAACTTTGCTGCAATCAGATAGATGCGATTTTTATTTTGAAGGTTTTGAAGATTTCGTGGTTATTCTAGATGGAGTTTTATTTTTCGCCTGATCACTTGATATGAAAGTGGGCCTGAGATGTTTCAAGTTTTCGTCCTATTTCGATCACTGATGGATTCGTATGAACTGCGATCTTATTGTCTGGTATGGTAAATAAAAATTGAAATGAAAGAATGATGAAATGAAAAAAATCTTATTGAAAGCCAATTTTCGCTGCCGCTCTTGATTGACGAGTGCTATAGCGTCTGTTGCAGTAACTGTCCTCGAAAGGGACAACATCATCAGCGTAAAAGGTGCGTATTACTATGCTCTGAAATGATTTGTAAACCTTTTGAGTGCCTGTAAGCGGTGTTCATAATTTATCACATAAGATAGTGGGTGCAAACTTGGAGCACATGGATATTTCAAAAGGTTGTGTTAATTTCCCATGCAAACACATGCGCTTGCTTGCCTAGGTTTACTAAAATGTTTTGGTTAACTTCATTGGAAAACCATTCTACTTGCCAGAGTATCGCCCTTTCCATGGAATCAGAGGCAGAAGCGATAAAGCACATAAAGATGAGTTGTCGATGGTTGGAACAATGTTCCATTACTTCTCTCAGAGTAAAAATTTGATAACCATGTCCTAGGTATGTCCTTATATTAATCTCCTGTTAGTTCATCACACACTGCGTCTGTTCGGCATCTTTTTCAAAGGCATTTAATAAGCTGATTTCTCGATAGTTGTCGCAAAGCGTTCAGTCGTATGGCATCTTTGGGGTTTTCTTGGACTAAGCTTGTGATTTATACAGTTTATCTCGTGCTGGGTTGGTGATTTGTAGTCACAGTTATATGGCTCAGTGGGTTGTTGCTGAGTTGGAAGCGCCGATGTTGAGGTTCGATTCCCTGCAGGAGTAAACCTGTATAAAAATCCGGGTGATGCTGGCGACTCGCCTATATTTCTATCGCCAAGGAACTCCCTGACATATTGCCCAATACGACAAACAAATGGGGCGAGTTTAACCAGTAGTGGTAACTCTTTAAAAGAAAAAGAAAGGAAGAATTACATTTATATGGCTCTCTATTCTTCCCAGTCGTATCAAGAATTGTACGTAGCTCGTCGCAGTTCAGTTTAAATTTTTTAAGGGACGCTCATCGCGTGAGATGATCTTTGATAGTTTTAATGAGATTTCCATCCTTATCTCGAATCATTTCACTGGTTATTTCTTGAACCCTGGGTGCATTGCGAAATATACGGAATATTTTTCAATTATCGCCACTGGAGCTGCTGCCTTTGAGGCCTTATGATTCCATACCATTTTTTTCCCGCTTCGCCATGACACTTTCTGGAATTGATTAAAAGAATCTCCTGATACGCTCGTTCTGGCAGCGTGATCAGACGGCTGAACCATTTTATCTGAGATTGAGATTGCGAGTCATATTTGCTAAAACTTATTAATCTGACTTCTGGAGGCAGAATTTCAAGTGAGTCTGATATTCCTTGATAGTTCCAGAGGATTAATATTAAAGTCCTTTTTATGTTTTTGGTGCTTTAACTTAAATGAGGTAACCGAAGTATTTTGACCATTTTTGGGTCTAGCCATAAAGTGACGATAAGCGCAGCTTTCTATTGAAGAATTCTTTCATCGTAATTGACAAAAATGTATTCGTTCTAATCTGAATGTTAATTCTGGCGAGTTCCATATAGATATTTTCTACAGTGCTGAAAATTTGTATTGGTGATAAAAAGTCTATGTTCTTCTGAAAAAGTTCTTCATTGGCACATCGACGCCACTTTTGACAGGTACAGCATCATGTCCTACGAGTATGTTCCAATTTTCCGCGATCATGGTTACGTCGTTTTTTGGAAGGGATACTGTTGGCAGGCTAAGTTCAGCATAGATTTTTATCGAGTTTATCCAGAATGGGGATATATATACCAAGGAAGCTTGCCTTTAAAGCAGGCATAGGCCAACCGGTTGTTAACCAAGTTTCATACGATAAAAGTTGAAAGTGCTGACAATTGTGATTCTATTTTCTTTGAATTCTTTAATAGCTCGTATCCGAAACCGGTACAGTTACAGTTTTGTACCTAGAATTAGGAGGACGGATTTCCGACAGGTAAATGATTTCCATACATTATTTTGATAGGATGTGAATGTTATCGCCCGAGATTTCCTATATCCATGTTCTATGTGACTACGAAAGCCTCACTACGTACGCAGATATTTGGTCTGATTTCCTTAAATAGAATGGAAGAGCAGTTCAGCTAAAGAACTTCATGATTATTCGAATATTTATCGCATGTGCCATTTGATTCCGAATGCCATGCATATTGGAAAATACACTGTGATTTCTTAGCCTATAGTCATAAAGTTACATAACGGGTAGTGGTACAGTGCTATTAGCCATCCGTATTTTTATTTTAATGATAGGTTTGATCCTGTATAGACAAGCAAAAAGATAATTTTAATTTTTGATAACAAAAATTTTGTTTATACGAGAAAGTAAAGAAAAATAAAAAAATTTGTATTTATATCGATTTCAATGGAAGGTGTTGGAGGATTACTGGTATTTTTTTTTAGAAAAAGCTGTCAAGCCGATGCTGACAGGTGTTTTGTTTGGTAATTCAGCTGCTGTTAGTGGTACGTTAAACGATACTCCAGTGTTTTTTCTCGTTAATTATGTAGTGAAATCATTTAGATTTGAAAAATTAACAATTTGTTCTTATGTTCTGAATCTTCTCCCTTGTACTTTTTCTTTATATAAATTGCACTTTTTATTTATTCTTTGTAGGATCAATTTTTGGCCGACCAATATCTGGTGGTTTTGCTGCTCTCGCAGCTAAAGCTCAGGCCGAAGCTGCTGGAAAACCTGGAGATAAAAAGAGTGATTCAAAGGATTTCTCGGTGAAATTTTCACCTTTACATTATAGGAAAAAAGCGTTAAATGGAAAGATTTGGTAATTTGGAAGAAAATGAATCGTTATTATTGTTTTTTTTTAATTTACTAGATTATTACAGACTTTCTCGTCCTTTCGTCGATCTAGTTCTCGGCCTGTGAGCCCGACGGAAGAAAAAGATACAGATGAGGAAGACGAATTTGTGCCAACAGCGCAGTTCGAACCAATTTTTCCTCTTCCGTCTCTTGTGGAAGTGAAAACCGGCGAAGAAGGTGAGGAGGTGAGTTTTTGGTTTCAGTTCATAGTTTTTTCCTGATTAAGTTCTGAAACTACCATATTTCTCGTACATCAACTTTTCATGGATTTGGCTATCTGTGACTTATATTTATTATTTACTTATTTAGTTGTATACGCACTATACCATATATTTTTACTTCGAAATATTTTTTCTCTCTTTATCTGAATCGATATATTCGATATTTTCGTGTTTTTTACATCCAGTTTTTTAATGTTTTGCCTATTTAGGTATTGTTCAAAGCACGAGGCAAATTATTCCGATTTATTAATGAGTCTGATGAATACAAGGAAAGAGGCATTGGTGATATGAAGGTATTTTCTTAACACCATTCAGATCTTCTGATATGTGGGAAATTTTCTGCAGTAAATGCGTGTGGAAATCTTTTAGCGCTGTAAATTTTCGTAATCTCCGTTCACATCCTCCTTATTTATGCGTATTCACTATTTTGAATGATGCGTTTAACTTCTCATCATATTTTTGATTATATTCTTGCATATTTTATGTATCCCATTTTAGTTGTACAGAGTAATGCGTACGGATTTAAATTCTTGTGGAAAGAGTGTTTTTCTTTAGTCCAAATTTGAATATTGTGGCTTTCATGTTTTCATTTAATGTCATGAAATGAAAAAATTTTTCTCATCGGTATAATTATCGCAGCGTAAATTTGCTTAAATATATTAATATTCTTATTTTTTTACATGGATTATTTCGAGTGCTATCATGTAAGTTTGTGAGTATTTTGCTGTCTACATTTAAGGTACTTTTCAATCCCAAAACGTCAAGATGCCGTTTGGTAATGAGAAGAGAACAAGTTCTAAAAGTCTGTGCCAACGCTCCACTCCATGCAGCTCTAAAGATCACAAAGAAGGCGAAAACTGAAAATGCTTGTATGTGGATGTGCCGGGTTCGTTATTTTTGTTTTCTAAATTTATTGCTTGTTGTATAATATTCCAATTTTACAGGATTATTCTGAAAGTGAATCTGGTATTGATGAATGTTTCGTTATAAAATTCAAAGATGCATCAATCGCCGATGAATTTATTAAAGTTTTCGAAAAGGCTTGTAAGGGTGGCTATGTTAAAGATTCCAAGGAAAAGGTTGATGAAGGTTGTATTTTGCAGATTTGCAAGTAAATCTCGACTAATGTTACTTGATTATTCCTCAATTATTGATTATCTCCTATTTTATCGTCGGTGAAATGTGATTTGGCTGTTTTGCTGCGATTCTTATTATAAAGTTTCAGAAGCAAAAACAGGAATTTGTTCTTCGTCCTCAGCGAAGTTGGTAGGTGAAAACAATGCGTCAAAGGCATTAGACTCATTTAAACAATCTAGTTATGACGAATCGAAGGCAGTTGAAGAAGGCGAGGAATATGATTATTGTGATGATACTGAAGAACATTTTAAGGAAGTGGCTTCTTTCGAAGCCACATTTGTTATCATTGATGCATATAAATCTCCAATGAAACCGGTAAACGCAGATCTGGACAATCTGTTTTGAAGTTTTCTATATATTTTTTCGGTAGCTTAGATTTTCTATTTCTTAAGATCTTGGCTATTTTTCATAGACTTAATGTCAGCAATAGGCTAGAAAACATTTTTTAGAAGAAGCAGAATTTTTAATATGCTCAAAATTTCATTAATAAATCTGCTTATAACTTTGTGACATTTCTTTCGAGCTTGTTCATTATACATTCAATGAGATTTTCTGGATTAAAGTTATCTACTTGCCAATTTAGTGTAGTTAGCGGCAAGTTGTTATAACTTGTGAAGACTTTGGAGAATTAGGAGCGTTGGTGAAGGAAAGCAGAGTATGCATTGGAAATTGTTGAATGAAAAATTGAAAATTGCTGAGTAGAATAAAGCTTGTCCATTTTGGTGTAATTTGCTGAGGAAGGGACCTTTCCCGTTTAAAATGTTTGAAATATGGTATTGGATATTTTCAAATTTGGCCATTGCAACACTCTTAGTGAGGTGACCTCAATGCCACTTAACGGTGAAAGCAAAGAGAATAGAATATCTCAGTGGATCGTTGCTTAATTTGGGGCGTTGAAGCTAAGGTTCTACTCTCGACATGAGACTGTCCAAAAATTGGGTAATGCGGGCAGTCCACATGTATTTATTTATATCGAAGGACATCAGGGGACTCTATGACATATTTATCTAATGCGACAAGTTAAGTGAGTGAGTTTAACTAGATATGGTAAGGTAAGTGCCCTTTGAAAAAAGCATACTCGGGCAGATTAGATAATATAATTATTGTATAGTCTTCTTCCCATTAGCGTCTCGCAGTTAAGGAGCTTTCCTGCGACTAAATTGCTTATTAAGCTAATATATTTCATTGATTTAATCTCAATCAGATATTTAACTTTTTCATAAAATGTCAATTAAGGAAGAAGTTAAAGACTGTTTTTCTAGACAAAGAAGGAAAAGTTCACTGGCACTTTGTTAATAGCTGAGGTTGGCCATAAGGGTCATGAGGTTGTTGTTTTGGAAGACGATAAAGTTCGTGTGTCGCACACAATCGAGGAAGAAACTAATTTCAATTGCGTTGTAAGTTTTTAATGTCATTTAAAAATAACGTTAGTTATATTGGAAGTATTTGTTATACAACGAATTTATATTGATTTCATTGCGTTTTTAAATTGAGCACTATTTGTTGGTTTATTTTCTTTACCTTTTCTGGTTTTGAATGGAATAATTCAACATAGAATTTTTCTAGGAATTCTAACTGATTTCGAAAGAAATTTGAATCACTTTAAATTTATGCACCAAAAATTCTTAAAATTTGCATTGCATTACTGTGGTTTTTTAGGGCCCTAAATCTATGAAATATCTGGCTGTAGGTGGTTCTAGAAATTGCGAAATTGTTGTCGAATTTAAATCTCAGTCAGATCGCAAGGAAGCTTTCGATCTTATCAAATCCGTTAGTTACTTACGATTACTTTCAGTATCATTAATCTTTTCTGTCTCATCATTTTTTATTTCAGATAGCGAAATCTTCTAAATAATATTTTTCCTGTCTGTGAATATTTTTCCATTATGTGCAAGACCGGCGCATTAAATTTTTCTGCGAATATCACTTTTACTGCCTTTCTTCAGGACTTAAGGCACATTTTGAGCCTTATCTAGAAAAATTTTTGTGAACAAGAAAAAATTGTTCATGTTGTGCTTGCTTGTTCCTTTCATTTTCCACTTACAGCGAAAAAAGTAATAAGATTAAATTTATTTTAGGGATTGAAAAAAATTTTTACATCAGAATTTTCGCAGAATTATAGAATTATAGAGCTCACCATGTCCTTGCGTATTGTATTTCCCCTCCCCCCCTCCCCAAGAAATGCGGTGTTCTTAGCAAAATGCTTAATCGTGTAGGCGTTAGCGCAGGACCTGATTCCGTTCGTTCAGTTTTAAAAACACGCTTGCGTTTGTTTTTTTCAATGGTTTAGTCCAACGTTTGTATTTTTTCTTCCGTTAAATTCATTTGTTCTCATTTGACCACTTGTTTTAAAATTTTTTGTTAAACTGTTGTTCAATAAAGTTATTTTAAAATGGTGGACAGCAATAGTAGCACTCTCATTGTGGCCTGCTCAAAAATTTTTTTTAAGTGGTTGATGTTTTTTATTTGTTACGAAACGAAAGGGCCGTTTTTTCCCATTCTTTGGGTTCATTTTATCGTCTACTGGGTAATTTTTGACGAGTGCTGTTTGAGTCGATTTCTTTCTCTTTTATTGATTGGCCTTTATAAAAATCGTGAAAAAAATATCAAGGTATTTTCCACAAAAATTTATTTACATATTCCTTACTTTGCTTTTATAACCAAACCCAATACTTTTACTTTTTGCTCTTCACTTTGATTCTAAATTGTATGGATTTTCTGGAAGTATAATATCAGAAGGTATTAATGGAATATTAATATTCCATTTTGCGTGGGCCTTTTTGGGGTGCTGTTGTATTCATTTTTAAAAAATGACGAATGAATCATAAAAATTTTATGAAGTAAAATAATTCGATTACAACGTTGGCGGAAAGTTGTATGGATATCGTCCGTATCTCCGAAAGATATGTGAAATTACGAAGATAATTAATGATAATGATTTACTGGGCCAGAAGCAAGCTTGTTTTACAGATCTTCTGAAATGAACAAACCAATAATTGAAAAATGTTCTTCCAAAAAAGATATTTTGAAAAGAGTCAACCATTTTGTGGTTGATCGATGATGAAAATTTATAAACCTTGTTAAATAAGAGGTAAAGCTACAACAGAATGAATGTAACAGGCTTATTCTTATCTTTAACCAAGAAAAACCAAAGGACAAACGTCATCAGTTCGTAAACCCATTTCTTTCCTCATTACTTCAAATTTCTCTTCGATTTCTTTGACTCTTCTTTCCTTTGCTTTATTTAAGCGTCGTTGTTCTTCGATTCCGAGTTTCACATATTTTTCTCTTAGTTCTTCGATTCTAAATAAATATTTCAATGGATTTAAACAGTCAATCTGGTTGTTTTTTCTACATATTAATAACCTATATGCGAATACGCAGCTGATTGATGAAGTGTCCAACGAAGGTTTCGAGGAACATTTCGGAGAACATCTGTCTCCATTTCTCCCAATCCACATTTCTAGGATTCCAGATTTATAATTCTGATTTATGAGTGCATAACATCGTAACATCACACTCCAATAAAATTGCTATTTTAAATAGTTTTAATAAAAAGTTTTCGAATATAGTCATTCAAATTAAAAATTAAATAATACGCTTCGGCACGGCCATTTGATTTCATCTGATCGTCGAATCGCTTTTGATGGATTAATTTCATTAACTGTTTAGATTCGCTGAAAATATTTATATGATAAAATATTTAATATTTACTTGTGCTTTTATGAAAAAAACTATAAAGATGGATTTCTAAGATCAAGCAAATAGGATGAATGTTGGCAGTACAGCAATTAAAATGTGAATACTGTCGGCCGCTGAGTTACCACTTTTGAGGTGAACTTTTTAAAGTCAAATTTTCAACCATATTGGCCCATAACTAAAAAGGAAATTAATTTTCATAGCAATTATGGATATTCTTTTCCTTCATATTTTTTATATTCTGTTAATTTGCTCATATTTATCCATCAAGCGGAAAGGAAAATGAAGAAGAAAGTCAAAAATAATTCATGATCGTAATTTCATACCATTTGTGCGCCATGTCAATCCTTTTCAGTAGCTTTTTTTTATTGTTTTCAACAAGAGCAATTATTTGTTCACAGCGCTGAAAGATAATTGAAATTAAAAAACGTTTGATTGATTGAACATTTGATTTTCTTCTCTAGAGAACTAGAAATTTGAAAAAAATTTTTGAAAATTAGGACCAGGTAATAAGCTTCTTGCAAAATAAATAATGCAGAAACCTTTCAATAAAAAAAGCCTACAACGGTGAATGAATGGGGTTTTTGCAACAAATATCTTTATAGTAAGATCAAATGATTCAATTCCATTTGCTTCAATTAAATCACTATCCGTATTGTAACCTACCTCTTTTTCAAATTTTGCGTAAGCCGTAAAAGCGCTATCGGATATCTTATGAGGTGAAGCTGATGGTACTCTGAAGAAAAGGTTATTCAACCTTTAATTAAAAAATTTCTTTTTAGATGAAAATATATCAATCAAGATAATAAAAGCGAAACTGCGGCAAAAGTCTGCAGTCAGCGCCTTCGGAACACCATCCATATCTTATCTGCATGCAAAATTATCTAACTTCTCAGTTGCTCATTTACCCACTTTCTAAAAGTGAATAATAAACCTGGTAGTAAAACGAACCGTTGAAGAGCGAGTTCAACCGTTTCTATCACATTGGCGAATTTTTTACGGAAACTTTTCTCAAGTTTCACAATCTTCGCGTTTGCTTCAAATTCTTCAAGACTAGCGTATTTCAATTCCATGTCGTCAATATAGAAACGAGTTTTTAAGCGTTCTAAATCAAAAATAAAAATAAAATCAAAAAATAAAATGCCTAGTTTAGGCTGTCAAATTCGCATCGATGAAAATTAGATTTTATTTAAATATTTAGATTTGTAGCAAATATTCTAAATATACGATTTTATGGTAGACAGTTCATTGCTACATGATAATTTGATATGGGCATTTGACGAATCACCAGAAAAAATTTTATCCCAAAAATTCTGCAAAACTGCAGTGGATACTGAACTAATCTCTATCAGAGCTGATTTCTGAACGGCATTGTTAGGCAATTTTCTTGCACACATATTACATGATGCCTATTAGTCGAAAAAAAAATGACCACAAATGGTCGCGATGGACGTGGTTATGGTTCGAATAGGAAATATTTCTAAAAAAATTGCAAAAAACAATAAGCGAAAACTGGATTTGTACCAAAACGAGACAAAAAATTTTTCACATCTATTATGTTTAGTGAGCTGGATATTATGAACACCTTGAATGGGTTGATTTTGTCGCTTCTCATAGCTTAACTGTCCAATTTCCTCCTTTATCGTACTTTCTACAATCGTTTCTTTGATTAAATCACCAGCTATGCTAAGCTGAAAGCAGAAATATTTTTTTAGCTCTGCGAACTGGTATATGTTGCTATTAGGATTTTAAATCCTGAAAAGTTGAGGTCAATGGTCCGGAACGCCTTTTTTCCCTAGATAAGCATAACTTCCCATGGCTGAGAAAATTGTAAATTTAATTGCATGTGGCACGGCTTTTGCTATCCTAGTCGTATCTTCTTGGGACAAAATTTATTCAAAACCTGCCTTATCAAAACTCAAGCTATTTTCCAAAGTTTGATAGATTTCGTCACTTCCTTCATTTTGAAACATTTCGATAGTGAAAACTTTAGGTTCAGATTCCTCCAAAGCATGCAACATATTTTCACGCATCTTCAACGTTTCGATAGGATTGACCAGGGCCGCTGATGCAGCTTAAATAAAAAATTTTTCATAAAAACTCATAAAAAATTATGAGCTTTAAAACTACTGGCATTTTTTTGTTGCCTGATCCAGAATTAAAAGTCGATAGAGCAGAAAAGAATTCGTCGGAAAAAATATTTTATTCAAAATATATATATATATATCAGGAGCTAGCTAATGAAGCATTAGTTCTGTAATTTTTTCTACTAAAACAGGATGATCAAATACCTTGTTCTTTCTTCATAGCAGCGATTGGATTTTGCAATGCCTCGACCAGATCTGCAATTTTTTAGTTAATTTTTTGGCCTTTAAAATGAATTTAGTTGGTTGCTTTTATGATTGTATGGTTCCATAAAAACGAACAATATATCATTTTAAAAAGGAAACAACACGTGAAATAGGCCACATTTTGCGTGAATGTCAATAATTTTTATTCTAATGAAGTACGTAAAAAGGAATATACATTGATTTTTCTGGTCAACATAATCATGTACACGAAAGCGCACAAAGAGAGTTGCAGGACCAATGGGTCTGTTGAATGCATTCCTTAAGCTAACATGACGATATCCGGACTGGATCGATCGAACCTGTAAACCATTGAGGAAATAAAATTTCTTTTAACAATATAGGATTTATTAACCATGAGTCTTAACGTCTTTAGTACATTCCAGAAAATAAATAAAAACCTGCAAGAACCTATGACCGATAAGTCGGCCACTTTCCTCAAAGACGGCAAGGCGTATGGAAGCCATTCCAGGAAAAATAATCTAAAAATGAGGAAAAATAATTAAAATGATTTTGAAACAAATTCTGGGAAATGATTGGGACAGGACACCCCATTCAGATTCAGATTTATCGCAATGAAAAAAGGGTTCAGCTCCTACTTCCAGCAGAAGTAAATTTATCATTAAAAAATATGAGTGGTGCTGGCATTTTATCCATACAATTAGCACCAAATGGCTTTCTGGTAAAAATTTCTAACAATACTCACAATCAGCGGAGGTAGCCTAAGAAATGATGAGCGGTAATTACTTACTTTATTTACTTGGAGAATAGTTGTGAAATAGCCATTTTTTTCAACGTACTTTTTCATATTTAAATTGTTCTTGGTTGTGGTCAGTTGTATATACAGGATCAATTCCATTCTCAGGCACAGTTTTTGTACGATACTTTCGTTTCGAAAACGTAGAAAGGTCACTAAAGTGCCCATAGAATGTTATCTCGACGTATGTCGATGGCCTTTTGTCACATACATGGGAAAGCATCTGAGCTGATATTACCTATAATATTCTCAGTATATTTTGTGGTAATACAGGTATCTCCATGCAAACTGAACAGTTCTACCAGCTTAAAGCTTCATCCTTTAAATATAGAAGCCAATACAGGATAAATACGAACGATATGGAAGACTTTTCTAATTCACCATTTCCCTTCCAGAATTCGAAATGATTCCAAGAAGTCAAAATGGACAAAAATCAGTAAAAAATGGAATTTTTACACTAGCCAGAAAAGTTTTTTTAAGAAAGATGCAAACAAAGTAAGGAGATCATAATCGTTTTTTTCTTGCAAAATGAGCAACTGAAACGTTTCGAATAAGCTTTTTTCTTCTTTCCTAAAGTTTTTTTTATTTTTTCTTAATTATCTTCGAATTTCTCTTTTTTAAAATTTAATTATCTCTATTATCTGCCTTTGATAGCAGTAAACCTGATGCCAAGAATTCGAGTGGCTGCAGGAGACCCACCCGTATCTCTATCTCCAAGTGACTCTATGGTGAAAGAGTCAGGTTTCTTTGACGGACGTCCGCATCCTTCGACGCATATGCTACTTCTGACACTACATGCGATAAATATATGATCCGTGCGTAAAACAATAATAATAAAATTCCAAGGAATAAGCATAGAATTTGCTCGCGAAGCGAAATAATTGCTCAAATTGCTCAAAACCAGTCAAAGGAAGCGAAAACCTATCCGTTAACACTTTGTAAGGTGCGCGTCAAGGTGATGATTATAGCTGCTTGGAATGTCAGAACGCTTATAGATGTTGCAAGCAAAGCGATCATTTCACACCCTTTCTAAATACCGCGTGGATTGGCTTGTTTGTCGGAGGTCCGTCTTCCTCATGTCGGCTCTCGAGTAATTATTAATCCTAGTTCCCAGCAAAGATATTGGCTATACCACTGTGGTATAGCCTCGGATAACCTGGGGCGAAATAGCGTAATGATTGTCATATGTTTGAAAAGGCTTGAACCGTTCTGACTAAATGAAAGCCAGTAGTATGGCCTATGCGCGTTTCAAGGGAAAGTTCTGAAATATTTCGGTAATCATAGTATATGCTCCAACTTTATGCGCAGCTGACCACGATAAAGATAAGTTCTATGCGGAGCTTCAACTGTTAACAGCATTCCTACCATGAAGTGACATGTTCATAATCGGGGGAGACTGGAATGCGCACGTAATGGCATCGGGTTCCAGTGCGCCAATGGAGAACGCTTTCTTCGTCTTGCCGAAGAGCATGAACTCTTTATGATTACGAATATACGATTTCGGCATCGGAGGAAACATCTAGTCACAGGAAATTCTCCGGATATTCCAGTCAGACTGATTTTTTGGTATATATTGGTATGATCTATATATTGGTCAATCGCTGTTCCTAATAGCCACTGAAGCTGGTAACCACCATGTTATGTTTGAAATTGACAAGTTGAGAATTAACGTATCCCAAGATCTTTCAACTATTTAAATTAAAAAATCCGGGAGCAATAAGTGCTTTTCAAACCTCAGTGAAATGAATGCCAATGATATCTCTAGAAAAGTGAGCGAGTACTGGTCCCAACTAAAGGCATACCTACAAAAGTCAACCACTTCCACACCAGAGTGTACTAGTAGAAAGTGCGCCAGTTGGATGTCGGAAGCAACTATCCAACTGACTGCCAACGCACGAACGCCAGGAGATCCTGACTATTGGGTGCATCGAAAAATTACAACGACAGCAACATGGCGCAACAGAAATCGCTATTGGAGCGATATGGCCTTGAGAATGGATACGGCGTCTCAAATAGGTGATAATAGGAAACTGTTTCTCCTTCTTCACTAAGCAACTATAACTCGAGAAAGGATCAGTGAAATGATACGGGATATTAATGGGCGGCCTGTAAAGGCTATTAAGGACCACCTCATAAGATGGAAAGAATTAGAATTTTTTGAGGCCAAACTTAACTATCATCTGACGGATATAAATGATTCGCCTGTCGAGCCTTACGTTTGCAACCGCCAACAGAAGAGGAAATAAACTCTGTTATCCATAAGCTTGAGGCCAATAAGACGCCAGAAGATGGTCTTTGAGCTAAACTCTTCAAAGGTTGCCCATCGTCCTTCATAATGCACCTTCAACAAACGTACTTTCTGGTACGGAAAAAAGAAAATTATTAGATGACAGAAGAGCAAAGCAATGTGAAAGCGGTTGGAATGTGGCGGTATCTCAGAGAAGATCATTCGGCTCATGAAAGCATTTTTAGAGCATACCCTGGAACAGGTCTGTACATATGGGGAAAAACAGACAGACTCCTTCGAAATAAGATCTGGTATCCAACAGGAATGCGTCCTTTCCCCCATTCAACAGTGCGATAGACTGGATGAGGGGCATCGCTTTTCGCCATCCAAGGGGTATACAAATCAGTCCAGAGCATAGCATCACAGATCTTGTAGTCCTTTTTGCTGACATATAATGAAATGAAATGCAATAATGTTAAACAATCTGTCAACAACTACAGTGAGAACTAGACTCAAAGCGAAGCCAGCATAAACAGTAATGGTGAGAGCTGTTAGAAGAAGAAGAAGCAACTAAAACGTACAGTAATTGATACACACGCAGGCACAATGAGATCCATGTTACGAGTTTCAAATGGGTTAAATTTAGCGTCAGCCTTCCTCATTAAGCTAGGTTTAACTACATAACCACATCGACCATTTTGTTCAAAGAAAGCTGAATTCATTTGAAACGGAATATCTGGAGTTTGCATATTAATTGCTGCCATCTGACATCCACAGTTCCAAAATTTCTGTAAAACAACAAGGATTTCAATGGTGATATTAAAGTTTTTTTAGAACGAATGTGCCTATTTATTCTGCAGGCCTCTAAACATCAGGCAATTTCATTAATAACAATTTAAAAAATTCTATGAATCCAAAATGCACTAATATATGGAATAGCCAGATGGTACAGTAAGTAACTCCAACTTCTTTAAAATGGTAATTAACTAACAATTGGCCAAAAATTGCTGGAATCGACTCGTTTCCCTTTGGGATAAATTCTAGAAATTTGCCTTTTATTATGATTAACGAATTCCGTAGGATTCTGTTTGACAAGTTCATAAGCACGAGATTCATTCATAGAATAAAGTTCAGAACTCATCTGTCTATCTGTAACGGCAAAAAATAAGAAACCTATACAGAATTAATAAAGAATACTGCATTTTAAATGAAATAAGCAAGTAGTGTTGAAAATCCATGTGCATTTTCTCTTAGCCATACGATTTTTCCGCGATGGACCTTCATTCCCGTAGAATGAACCAAAAGAGAAATGGTGAATGCAGACAAGAAGATGAAGATCGAAATAAAGCTAGCCAGAAAAGCTTTTTCAAGAAATATAAATATAATAAGAAAAAAATTGAAAAAGGCAAGAAAAAATTTTGTTCAATACTTTCACTTTCCGCGAACGATGTTAATTTTCCCATTGCTCGCATATAATTAACGAGATCAGATAATTCTTTGGCCACTACTTCAGTTTCAGTAGGCTGAAAATTTTTCTTACGAAGAGCATTCACAATTAATCCAAAAATAATTTAAATGAAGTAGTAGAAAATGTGTGGTAAACGGTAAGAAGGAAATATAATATACAAATAAATTGAAGGAACACGATTTTTAAAATCAAAGAGCTATTGTTCGATTTTTTTAGGTTTAGCTATATTGAACTTATGGCCATAGTAGGTTTTTACAGAATTTCAGGTTTTTAAGAAATGGAGGCGTAGTTGCTGTATTTTATGTTACATTAAATATGCAAGAATCTGTAGAGCGATTTGACTGTGAACAACAAATACGGACAACTTACGTTTCCAAATTTTTCTTCGACTCCATTTTCATCATTCATCACTCCTTCAGCAACAAAATCTTGTTCCTCTTGATCTTCAATAAAAATTTAATCACGGAAAATACAGAAATTTGTATTAAATCATGGCTTATCCAGAAATGCTTTTGCCAGAAGCAAAAGATGCAAGTAATATTATATTGTACAATGAACCTAAAAGCAAGACCACTTAAATTCACAGCTGAAGGACTGAAGGGTTTGTAATGAAGGAATTGGCTGCAGTGTAGAAATTAAAGCATTGGAGATAGAGATGTTGTTGAACCCATACAAAGCCACAAAACCGTATTCCAAACCAATAAATTCTATAAGTTCTCTCTTTAAATCTTCCAACTTGTCCAGAAATGGTGAGCACTAACCACTTGAATCAAACATAACAATGATTTCAAAAAACTACAAAAGTTGCTTCATTAAAAGTACCTCTAGTCTCATTAACTTCTTCGATTTCGTTCGACTCCCTTGATCGTTCAATATCAACATCGTGAGCGGCTATAAGATAGCAATTAATCAAATAATAAATAAAATTTAAAAATTTTTTTGTTTGACAAGATTTCACAGATAGACCATTTAAATCAGAATTTAAACAGCTAAGAAAGTCTAACAAATGGAAATCGCTCACTTTCATTTAAATCATTTCCATTGTTTACTAGCTTTGTATGTGCTTCATATGCTTTCTTCTTTTCCCTTCTATTTTACTGACCAATCTAATAGTAAGCCAAAACAAACCTTTTTCACTTTCATTCGAATCCAATGATATTTGCTTAATTAATTCGCTAGCTAAAAGAAAAAAGTTTGAAATTATTTAAAATGGATAAAAAAGAGGAGAAACTGGATTTTAAAAAAAGAAAAAAGTAGTAAATATAAATAAAATAATGCAAACAAATATAAAAATATAAAAATATAAAAATAAAACAATGTTCGATAAAAGCATAAGGTTTTTCTAAGAGGATGCGTGATAGCCAAGTCATTGTCGTTCAAATTATCGTCTTCCGAGCGTCAGAGTTTGGGTCCTCCATTAAGAATAAACCAATCATTGAAAAAAATCGGATGATGCGATGACCTGTGGGCATCTAGCTTTCTGGCAAAAATTCCTCAGTGCACTAACAGGCAAGGGTGCAAGCCCAACCAGGAAATGAAATCCACTTCCTTTTTTTACATTTTTTAAACTTTTCGAACAAAAAATAAATAAATTACTAAAATATTAAAAAACTTAGTAAAATTAATTAAATAAATAAATAAATACTAACTATTCGAAAGTTGGTATTGGAATCTTAGAGGCCGAGTTTCCAATTTTTTATTTTTTATCAAAATCTTCTTTCGAAGAGCATTGGGTGACGGTAAAGATACGCCAGGTTTTATCTGAATTTGAAAAATTACAAACGAATAATATGAAATTTTTCTGATCAATTTTTAAATGTTCATATAATCAACTGTTACAGAATTTTTAAAAAAAGCCATTCATATTGTTGTCCTTTTCCAATACCAACATCGTCTAGATTCTCGACTTTTTATAAAGTTTATAGAAAATTTACCAACATATCGACTTATTTATAGATTAATCAGCTTTACAGAGTAGCGTGACCTAATAAAAATTAAAAGAACGGTATGTAATGTAAATTAAATTAAATGTAATGTAAATTTACAGCAATATTTGATGCATGAAATGAAGCATGAATTAAAAAAAAGAATTACTTCCAGACTTATATTTTTGGGTCAAGCAAATTGGTAAAAAATATTCAGGAAGTTAAAATATGAGAGAGATTTTGTGTTTTGCGAATTATGCGAATAATTTTTCAGTTATTTACTAAGATAGCAAGTTTGAATTTTATGATCGCAAATTTTGTCGTCTAAAGGCTTAATAAATTAAAAACTTTAAATATTTAAACTTTGATAATATAAAAAAATATTGATAAGAAAGAAACTCATCGTTTTTATAAAACAAAGACACGAAGGAGAAAAAATAGAACAATGAATGAAACAGACAATTATGACGACCATACTTCCATATTTTTAGCGCAAATGTACTCTATTAAACAAGGAAATTTTTGAACCTGTTACTAAGTAATATAAAAAATACCGGATATTCAGGAAGAGGTTCTGTCAATAAAAGTTCTCCGAAAATTTCTTTACAATAAGCTGCCATCCTCTTTTGTTGTTTTAAAGAACAATGATTCTCGAATGATAGGATCACAGGATATTCAGACATTATAAATGCTGTCTCTGCTATCGCAACAATTACATCCTAGATAAGAAATTAAGTAGTTAAATAAGCAATGAGTAATAAATAAGTGATAAAGATAGGACAGACAAGTGGTTACTACCCAGTTTATAGTCTCGACCGCCAGGGTTAGGGTCCTATCTCTCGCAGTAGTAGACCTAAAAAATCCAAAAGCTGTAGTCAATCCACTTGCACTTCAATCGTCAAATGACTCTCTGGCAAAAATATTAATGCAAATGGAGCAATTCTAAATAGAAATGGTGAATGGTAATCATTTAAATAAGAAGTTGAGCAAACATTACCATGAATTCAACAGATAAAAAAGGATTAATACACCATATTTCTAACATTTCAGCAAAAATATAAATATCCAACCTTAAATAAAATAGGTGTAACTCTTGTAAACTGGCATGGACCATGCGTAATTATTGGTTCGCCATTTGCACCATCCCAACAATCCAGTTCAATTGATCGACAGCCAGAAAGAAGCACGTAACGATACATTTCCACTGAACTTTTTGCATTAACTTGATATCCTGCAATTTAGACCACTTTAAATATTAAAAACATGGAAATTAGAGTTTATATTTGTTCTTAAAAGCTGTAAAACTGGCACATAATTTTTAGGCATTATATTGAACTTGCAGCTAGTTCCAGAGGCTTCTAAAAGTGTTTCAATATAGAATGATACTATTTTACTGATTAAATGATTCAATACGATTAGTGACTATTTTATTTTTCCTTTCTAACAGCAACTAGTGGCAATTTCGTAGACAGAAAGGATTAATAGGAAAGATTCAAAAATATTTAGATGACAAAAAAGGAATTTCAAATCGCAAAATAAGATAACCTTTTAAATAGGTATTATGTGAACTGTTAATAAAATAATGTGACAGCGGTTTGTACATATCTTCCTTTTTCAAAATAAAATGATCGTGGTGCGAACTTATATTATAGTCACTGAGTAAGAACCTCAAGTATGTATCATATTTAAGGTTATCACCTAAAAGTAAAGGATGCATGTTTTATAAATATTTTGTTTGCAAACTGAGTCAGTTTTTTTGATTAGTTGTTGCAGCAAATTAATGGTTTCAACATTTCAACGATTCGCATTGTACTGCAATCGTTTAGATAATTTGATTTAGTTTAGTAATAATCAAGCAGTTTGAATGGATTGGTTACTTAATTTAAAACACCTAAATCAAATCACCTAAATCGTCAGTGAATTATGGTGAAACCGCAAAAATTCAATTTTAGAGTGAAAAAATATTAAATTTAAAACTGGAAGAAGAAAAAACACATGTCTGCAAAATATATAAGATAGGAAACAATAGGTATAAAAAAATCAAAAAATAAAATTACAATAAAAGAAGTTTATGGAAATAAACCAACCGCTTTTACCAAATTCTTTTATTAACTTTTTGGAAGTTTCTTCAGTGGGACAAGGATATAGGAGTTCATTCAGCCGTGGATCGTAATGCTCTTTTTTAAGGTAATCAGCAAATATGTTCGGAGACACACTCTTTAGACCCCCAAATCTATAAATATCTAGATTATTAATTTCTCTAGATTATTAATTTCAACCAAATAACTTTGGACCTAGATGTAGGATAGACGAATTCTTATTGCTAGGGTCAAGTCATAAATTCAATTCCTCCTCCAGACGAGTATAAAACTGTAATGAAAAAGTGAAATTTGGGTGGTGGTATAACCCACCTATATTCCTCTCTTCTTGTAATTTTCTGGCTAAGGACTCTCATCTTAATAGTCTGTGGGGCCAGCTTGACCAAAAGCTTTGGACCTCTATGAATCATAAAAGTACCGATCACTAAATATGCCTGCGACGTCTTTCCGATTCAAAATGCTCTGATAACAACAAAAAATAAAGTTGTCGTCGATTTCAGAACAAAACACTGATTTCTGCAAATTCACAGCTTTTTACAAACATGAAAAAAAAAGAAAAATGACGACTTTCATTCAAACTCTTAGATGAAAAATTTCATAGAATATGATTATACTTTGTTCCGGACAGTAGCAACTATGATTAAACTATGAATGGAGCTAGAATTATCATTTAGCTCTATGAAAATAAAAAAAATGACCTTATCCTTCCATATCGATGTTTTAAGAATTTTTTCAAGTTCTTTCCGGTCTTCCTTATTTCTGACGGGCAGTAACGCATCAACAATGCTGAAATTGATTTTGAAATGTTTGGTTAATATTTTTTTCTAATTTAATATTTCCAGTCTTTATTTTAATACTTTAGAATGTCCATTTTTACAGAAAATTCGAGATTTAACACAATTGACAAATAGACTAACCAGCTTCGAGTGAAAATCATAAATTCTCTAGCTGGTCTTTACAATTTTTGCCTTAAGTTTTGTTGGAATTTGAGCGAAAATGTCGTAGTGGATTCAAATCTTATAAACTTATAAATTATAAATTTATTGAATATTTAATGATTCAAAATATACAAAATCACTACCATGCATCCAGTAAAGATAATCCTGATTTGAAAATATTACATTTTCTATAACTGAAAGGCAGAAAAATTAAGGAAACCAGTTATACCTATTAACAGTGATCGAATCATCTACAGATGTATGCATTATTTTTGTAAACAATCGTTGCCAATAATGAAAAGCTCCCTTCACTGATATATCTTTAATTAATTCCGCAGACAACTTTCGAAGTTCCATAACCCATAACTGAAGAGATTTTTTATCTGCGCTTTTTTTTACATATCGCATCATTTAGATCCGAAACCCAACCAATTAAGCATTCTCCAGTGCAAAAAATATGATTTATTGGAATTTATCAAATCAAATTCTCTGTTCCTAATTAACTGAATTTTGATCAACAATTAATCAAACCGTATGGCGCTGTTGATAATTAAACTTCACTTAAATTTGAAAGAATTAAAAATTTTTACATCTTAATTAATAAAAATAACAATTAAAATTAAAACTTTGGTTGATTCGTCAGAATCTGTTAAAAATGTTGTTGCTTGAGGATAAACTGGATCAGCACCGTGCATTATTGTAAGGAAGCAAGAACTTATTGTGCAAGTAGCAGTAGTGAATGTACCCGCAAAAATCTTCTTTAATTGACCATTCATCTGAAAAAAATAATTATGAAGAAATAAACTAGCAGAATGGCAAAATCCTATAAATAATTTAAAATATTTGATTGTGTGGCATGCTCGCTAATAATTACGTAGTTTTAAAAATTAGATACACAGTCACAGTCGAGTGGATAATAAATGAGATTACCGTGCTAAGAAGAAAGGTTCACAGCTTCGACAAAAGAAAGCCTGAAGCAAACTTATCAGAAAATTAGGGAGTGATACGCCTATTTTTGTCACCAGTTGATTGCATGGCAAAAATTTCTAACCGTACTAGCCAGCGGTGCTAGCGCAATCAGAAATGGTGAACGCTAACTAATTTTTTACAAAGCTTAAAAAACTATTCTTTAACGTGCTTTAAATAAAATTCTTCTTTTTATCTGCTTTGCTATTTTATGTATTGCAAACAAGAAAGATCCTTGTCATCTGACATATATAAATACGTACACCCATTTATTCTTAACAACTTCCATAAGGCTATCTCCAAGACTATACTTAAGGTTACGATAACAAAAACTTGGAGCATGGGCATACAGGAAATCAAAAAATTTTTGATTTAATATAGCGTCAGTATATACAGAACTAAAAAAAATTGAGGCAAAAAAAATAAATTGATGATCTTTTCACCTTTTGTTGGACAATCTTTTGTTTCGCAGTTTCATTGCAACAGCCAACATAAACATCAACTATTTCATCGACATATATCCCATCAGCATTTTTCACACTGCTCGTTGCCTTAAAAAAAAATTCAACAATTTAAATACTTTCAGTTTAGTCAAGTTAGGCAATCGAAAAAGACAGCGCTCGTCGTCGATGGCGATTAACTTAATCTTTTTTTTTTCTTTTTTCTTTTTTAACTTGAATATTTGAATTGCATTTGGTTTCCGGTACCATGGTGTGCTTAGATGTTTCTAAATATTCTTATCCTTAACAACCTGAGAAAATCTGTTTCATTATTTTATTTACCTCTTATTCTTTAAATGTCCTTTGAAATATATATTCTACATTCTACCTATGTTTCATTTATTTATTATGGTCTTCTCTTAACAGCACATTATTCAAGATTCCCACCAACGAATACTGATGCCATTGTCGGTGGGATCCGAGCGATCCAAGCGATCGGACTCGTCAAGTTACCTTCATCATATATTATCGCTTTGCCAGTTATTATATTTATTGTACATTATATAGGGGAGTATTTCTGTCGTAATTATTCCCTTAACTTCATTAACTTAGCTGTAACTGTTTATTAGTGTCTGTTCGTTATTTTTTGAGGCAAAATCCTCATCGTTACAAGGCGTTCATTTATTTATTGTTTATGTTGGTTTAATTACCACAGTACTTTGGGCACGAACTCAGTGATTGTGCAAATTATGGTCATTTCTGAATTACAGTCAGGGAATAGACATGGCACTATTCCCAACATTTTGCACCGCTCCTGCAGATACTAATGGATGAGTATCACAAAAGTGGGTTTTTTCTCAAAAATTTGTTCTTCTGTTATTCAGAAACCTTTTTTCATAATAATTTAATTTTCGGACTTAATTGACTGCATAATAGAGTCGAATAATGATGGTTACCGATAAATAAAAAGAGAAAAAAATTTTGAGATCTATCTAACAAATAATTCTCAAACACTAAAAACAAGGGATCATCAAGCAAATGAGTGAGAGATTTGCAAAGATTTTAATATTCTTCATACCTCATTGTTCATCCAGTAGAGTACCATACCGTTTTTGCTGAGGCGCAATGATACAAAGCGTCCCTCAAACTGATCTGTGAGCTGAAATATTCATGCCCTAAATTTATTGAGGAGTTAAGTGTACGATTCTCATTCATTTGAACTTAATTTATTGAATAGGGGTAGAATGGCCCCCTGGATTGTTGCTCAATTGGGAGCGCCGATGCTGAGTTCGATTTCCCGCAAGAACAAACCTGTCCAAAAATCCGAGTGATACTGGCAACTCACCTGTATTTCTATCACCAAGGAACTCCCTGGCACATTTTTTTAGTGCGAAAAGCCAGCGGACCAGAATGGTGCTAGCACTTGAAAAAAAATTATAACAATAAAAAATTATAAAAATTATAAGGGGAAATACAAGGTAAATACGATAGATATGAAAATGTTAATTAGATTGGTTATGTAATTTGTGATGAATAAGCGAAATAATCTTTCGGTTAGATATTAATTTCAGGATAATTAATTTCAACTTTTTAGAATATGGATGAAATAATTGGAAAAAATCAAAAATTATAAAATATACAAGTAAATTCTCGAATAAAAACAAGATATCATTCTCTCTCTGCTGAATTAGCGAAAGAATTATGTGATATGATTACGAATATCCGCAATTTTATTAGTTTTGAATGTACAAAGGCCCAAAAAATTTATTAATTTTGACTGAATGATGAAATAGAAGAATAGGTAATAATGAACTGATGCTTTTTTCGAAGAGTGGCAAAAACTGGTCTTAAAGTAAAGATAAATGAATTACATTTTGATTAATCTAATAGTTTAGCATATTAAAACTGCTTGAAGGCCAGCTGCTAACTGCTTAACAGCATTCACCATTTCTGATTTGGATGCCTCTGTCCATTATTAGTTAATTCAAGTATTTTTTGATAAAAACAGGGTTCACTCCCAGCATCATCCGGGTTTCATTTTTAATGACAGGTTCACTGCTGCTAAGAAAAAGAGGTAGAACCTATGATGAGTTATATCAAGGAGACTGCCACTCAACCACAAGGGAAGCCATGATAAATAATTATTTAAATAAACTAGTGAATGAAATCAAACATAAATTAATACAATAAAAAAGTGATCATTTATCTAATAATAATTATAGTAATAATCGTTAAATCTGATTAATCTTTAAAGTACGAAAATTTATTAAATCGCAAAAGTATATCTGTTTAAAAAATATTTTGAAGACTATTTTCATAAAAACATTATTTATCCTAAGAAAAGCTAAGTGAAATGATGGAAAATTTACCTGTTATTTGAAAAAATTCTGGCTTAAAATTCAACTTATCTTTTGGCAAGGAAGTTCGAAAAAGAAAATGAATTCCTATTCATTACCTTTCTACATTCACTACAATACAATGAACGTGGTTAACATGTGTGATGGCTGCTTGACTAACTAGAAATTTTTTGCCATTGAGCGATAGAATAAGTGGACCGTCAGCCACCACTCGGGTTTCTTTATGACAGGCTTGCTCTTATCAAAGGCTGGCTCCGAGTTTTCTTGACACGCTACCAACCACTTGGGTATCCATAATACATTGTAAAAAAGGAATCAATATATAAGCGAATGCAAAAACAACATTATGGTTGAAAAAATTACAAACATTGTCAAATTTGTAAACCCGTTCACCAGAAATAAGTCGGCTGTCGGGAGAAAATGCGTGAAAAATATTTCCCGTATATGAACGATTTCTGGACATTGAGGTAATCCAAATAATTTCACATATTCACTGACGACCAACCTGAAAACAACCAGCTAATCTCTTAAACGTTATCAGTTAATTTATAATAGACGATAAAAATTCAAACCGAAGTTGTTAAAATACAACAAAAATAAAACCAATTGTAGTCTTAGATGAGTCTTAGAGAATGGCATCATCAACAATGATAATCAACCAATTTATAACAATTTATTTTTGATGAATAATAAATAAACTGGAAATATCTGGAAAACGCCATAACAACGTTATGCTTATTTTTACTAAAAGTTTGGATCGTTTTAACAATGATCATGGATTTCAATTATGATTTAGCTTTTCTTCACCAATTTCAACTAATTTAAGAATTTATAGGAAATTACAGTTAAAAGTCGATTAATAAATAATTTAATAATAAATAATAAAGAAATCAAGTATAAAAGATGAGCACCACTTTATATAATGGACGCACATGAATAATACGTGCGATGGGGAATTTGAATCAAGGTTAACGGTTAATACTAATAAATAGCAAAATGAATCTGATTTATTGTATAATAGTAATTGTATATATGAACTATCCTACAATCGGGCAAAATTTTTTGTTCAGTAAGTATAACGGGAGCTAAGGCAGTATTATTATTAAGAAGTTATAACTAAAGGGTATGTAGGTTTCACGGCGATCGACAAAGGACAAAGGTACTGAATGTGAGATCTTAAAAGAAAAACAGGGTTTAAGAGAATATTAATGAGATATATAGATATATAAAGACAAGCAAATTTGATAAAAAACCAAAGAAATAATGAGGGTTGTATAAGGAACTGCGGTTAACTCTAAAGAAGTTTGAATAAGTTTGAATAAAATGGTTTAAAAGAAGGTTGCCGATTAGTTCTGACAAAAAAGTAGAGAAGTATTTGTCTAAGTGTTGAAAAAGAATAATGCGGATATTAATGGATATTTAACGGGCCTTGATGAAGATGTTTTTTTTATAAGTAGGAGGATAAAGATTCGCAGTTTTGAGTAGTAACTGTATTTCGGAGAGTAACATGGATGGCTTTGTTGTTGAATAGTTTAATTCCAAAAAATTTTTTTTCACTCTATTTTCGTCAGAATAAAGTGTTGATGGTACTCTAGATCTTTTCACCAAGATTCACAATATGAGGACTCCCTCCAAGTTTAGAGTTGTTGGAACCACAAACAAAAAAAAATTTACTCCTAGAGCCATCAAAAACTTAGCCATTAGATAATTTGTTCTCGTTAATTTATTATTTCACGGTCAATTGAACCATGAAATCATAAAATAGAAAATTAAAAAAAAAAAGGTCATAATTCATAAAAGAAACACAAAAAATGGTTATTATTTATTATTACATTTTATTCATAAATATATTTTTTATAAAATATACACCACAAAAAAAAGCTAATTAAATCCCATTCTGTCAATACTATTTATAATTTACATACATCAATATAAATAGCTGATATATTCTTTTGATAATTTTAAATCATTGAGGTAATTAATCTAAGAAATTTTAAACGATATTGATAATAAATTATAAACGAAGGATGCTTTTAAGAATTTTACAGCAATCGTTAGCGTAACAATGAAACATGCAAAATAAATGGTTCGTGCTAATTTTGCCAATTCTTATTCATTAAGATGACCACCAGCAGCAACGAAAATTAATTTCACTACAAATGCATGTTAAAGGAAGTGGTAATACCGATTAAAGCAAAATAATTTTGCAGTATTCATGGCACTCGCAATCTACAGTTTTTAAATTACGCTTCGTTTGCCACTAAATTAAGAAATGCCTAACATTTTATCAATTCTAGATTAGCGCTATCAAAGTCTTCAGCAAATCAAATAATATAAGAAATATCATATATGTCTAGAAAAACATCAATCAACAATGAACGTTTAAAATTTATTTCGTGATAAAAGGACGCACCAGTTTTCTTTCGTATGAGATGATGAATTTTCTTCTTTTTTTTTATTTAAAAAGCATCT